TCTGCCAATTCACGACATAGCGCGACCATTTCGCAATGTCTTCTGCGATGAGTTACTGCCTCATCTTCAACCTGCTGTACGCTACTCGTCACGGCTGCCCACTAGAACGCCAAGTTAACTACCTGAATAGGGCCAGTTGCTAGTGAGCATCAGATTTGATGCTCATCACTAGAATTCAAGGACCATTGGATCGGGTTCCAGTGGCTCAATGGTCTACGAGCTCACCTTGTAACCAGAACGTCCTAGATTCAAACCCCGGTGGGTGCGTACTGCTGAAGAGTCCCAAACTAGGATGAAACAGCTGTCCAGTACTCTTAGGTTTTCCAGTGGTTCTCTAAATGATGTCAGCTCATGATGAAATCCTCCATGCAATCAAACAAAAATTCCTACAAAACCAATACTTGAGAATTAAGAATACTCAAACCGACACATGGCACCAATCCACGAAAGTCTTAGACGGTTGTCTTGAGCCACCCAGGGAAGCGTTGACTGCGCATTTAAGGACCTCGGGTTGCTTAAGACAAATGACTTCAGATTTCTGGTGATATAACTCAAAATCGCTGTGAGTAGCACAGATGCATTCACTCTTTGTAATCTCCCTTTTCCATTAAACCCACATGTTTTTCCATGATACTATTCTTTTCCCGTACATTTCTGCTCACAATAGTTTTTTTGAATCCCTTTTTACTCTCTCTCGCGCGTGGTATATGAAGTGTGGCAAATTAAACTGCTGCACTTCTGTGCGTAGTTCTATGTGAAACTCAGTCAGCCAGAGGAACTGTAGAAAGCAAACAGTAAGTAACAGCAGTTCCTTCCGTAATAATTTATTTTCAGTTTTAGTTGCATTTCCCTTCGACTGATTGTGTTGGGCCGAAATGCTAGGTCTATGTTGACATGTCGGCTTCTAGTACGGGCGTTTCAACGATGTCTAAGGAATAATATAAAGTTATTTTGATTAGTGGCGGTCGGCACTGGAATCCGGGACGTCCACTTCATCCTGTTTGTGACTCGTCATCTAGAAGTATCTGAATTCTTGATGAGTGATGGTGGTTACTCTGAAACTCAAACCCTATAGGCATAGTTCTAATCAGCAAAGCATTATCTGTCCGGATCACCACAGCTACTTGTTTTGCAAATGGTATCACTTATTATTTGTTTTCAGATTAATTTTGCATTCCATATGGAATCTACCGCTAGTTACCACCAAAGGAAATAGCTTACACTTAGTAAGCCTAACTACAAAGGTGAGAAGCATCATTTTGAGACTGATTTTGAATTTAAACAAAACCTAAAACGTCTAAAGCTTCAGGCCAATTTTTCTTTAACTACTTATAAGAAACCAAGTTTCTACACATCAAAATAACAAAGTGGTTGGTGGTGGTGATGGTGAGCTGACGGAAGAAATAGATCAGAAGTCAGTGAAAATTCGAAATAAAAGGATTATGAATAACTAAACTTTAAATGAGCAGCAGTCTGAGTCTGATTACAAATATTTTCAAATGTTGATTAATCATATTTTCTAATCTTCAGTTGTTTGCGACGACAACTCAGTTTGCTGCCATGTGACTTACATGTTCACTTTTAGAACTTGAAGTGTTCCATAATGTGGGTTTAATAAAGGTCAGTGAATTCATCAGGTAGTATAAATCGTGAAAATGAAATCCTTTTTCACATCTTAATGTTTTACCCATCTCTTGGCTTCCGAATGGAACACCAACAGCACATCTCCATTTCACCCTCTTCTATGCAGTCAACTTTAGCTGGCCCCATGACTGACAATAGACTTCCAGCTACTTATCATTTGATCTCCTCCATGTCATCTTCGGAAGCCTAACTCATCTCTTCTAAATCAGGTTCTACTAGAGGGTGTGCAGGAAGCGTGATGTCACTTAACAGTCTCCTCAGCGTTTATTTATTTCCTTCTGCATAGTTGTTGAGCAACAGATTGTTGGTTGGTTAGTTGTCTACCGGAATTCCTTGTTGCTTATCCTTTCTGCTCAGTCTTCTGATCATCAGCACTGAGCAAAGGGGAAGCTTTGGATGGAAGTCTGAATCTGAAAATATCGCTTTCTGTAGGCCCTTAATTCTTATTTCATGTTTAAGGGGGACAAAGTAATAATCAGCATTTCTTCTTTTTTAATAGGGTACATAACTGATTGTTTTCAGTAAGTCACCTTTCATGGTGTAACTACTTATTTTCTTCAGAGGCTTCTTTTTTGCTTCCTTGTTTTGATAACTGTTCCTATGTGGTAAATTAAACACAAGTCTTATGCCTAATGAAATTGTTATCAAACTAGAAATTTCTTTATCTTGTTTTATAAAGGAAATTTTAAATTTTGATCAAAGACTGATATCAGCTAGAGAAACGCTGAAAACCAGGCAGCACTAGACCTAGTTTGGAACTCTTCGTCACTACGTACCAGTGATCTCACTGGAGATCAAGTTAAGAGGCGAGCTCATTCAACACTCAGATGCTGGTGCGGAAACCAATGACTATTTCGTGAATTCTAACTTCTGTCATTTTTCTATATATATTGCGATCATCGGTCAATGTCATCGGTGAGTAGCTGTCTTCAAGTCGCGGATCTGATGGACCCAACACTGGTTACGACTTATCACTATTACTTCAGACAACTTCATCCTGTCACAGACGAACACCATATTAATTTCCAAGTGTTAATTTTTAGGTATTTGATTGTTTCAAGGTTAGGTCTCTGGTGGGGTGAATCATGGGAGTGTACTGTAAAGGGTTCTAAACAAGGACTAAACGACTATATCCAGTACTCTTTTCTGGTTTCTAGTGGTTCTAGGATTGATATCAATCCATAGTCAAAACCTGAAACGAATCAAATATCTACAAACTGTCACTTCGAAATTTCTCTGCTAATGTAATCATGTAACAGCAGAAGGCAAGACACGGAAACCAAGGTATATTTTCAAGTGATCTTTAATATCTGATTTATGCATCTTTTGCTTGGCAAGCTAACATAAATCTCTCCTAATATTATTCTCTATGTCTCCTTCCATCGCCATTTTCATTGTCATATTAGACACTGTGTGATCGGTTCCTTCAAAATAATAACATGTATTCGTGATTTCTTCTTAATTGTGGAAGCTGAGTTGTGATCATTGCATTCTCCGTATTTCTGAGCGTTTGTGTGCACACATGTCTATGTGTGTGTATTTGTGTGTTTAACAGTTTGAAGTGTCATTTGAATGAATTATTATATATATATATATATAGTTTATTTTCTTTAACCAATCACTGAGCGGGTGATTTTGGCTTACATTATTCGACATGAAATAGAATGTTCAAACACATATAGTATTCTGTTGCTGCGCTGTACTGAACTGTGGGAATATGTGAGAATCCTATTCCGTTGGAGCACATTGTCTGTATCACACCACCACAATCCTACTTTAGGTAGATACTTAGACCAATAATAACTGCTGCTAAGTATTAAATGATGTTTTTAAAAGAAACAAAAATGCCTTATATTCTCTTTCACCTACTTCTCATGATGAAACTGTCCTCAGACTAATCTGAAAGGAAGACCAAGAAGTGATTGATTGAATCATGTGGAAAAAATATTTTCCATCATAAGCACCTTTATCAATCAGTTTTGAGCTAAAGGAAAACTTATACTGACAAAAATTCATTCAAATGACACTTCAAACTGTTAAACACACAAATACACACACATAGACATGTGTGCACACAAACGCTCAGAAATACGGAGAATGCAATGATCACAACTCAGCTTCCACAATTAAGAAGAAATCACGAATACATGTTATTATTTTGAAGGAACCGATCACACAGTGTCTAATATGACAATGAGAATGGCGATGGAAGGAGACATAGAGAATAATATTAGGAGAGATTTATGTTAGCTTGCCAAGCAAAAGATGCATAAATCAGATATTAAAGAAAAATATTGATGAATGGATTACTGCTAAAAAAATTTTATTGTTTAGTTCCACATGAAGTAGATTTCAATTGTATCAATATGTGTATATATTCTAAACTCATTGACTGAATTTCGTTTACGCATGGATTATTTTAATAAATGAATAAAAGAATAACTTGCAAAAATGATTCTGCTTAGTTATTTTTCTTATTGAGAAAGAGGAAATTCGTGAGATTTGCCTGAAACTAACTAACAGGCTATAGGAAATAAAAGAGATATGAGAATTATAATTATAGGGTTTTTCTGTGTTTGAAGTAACTGTAGCTTACAAACGGGTGAGAAGTTCGCAGAGAATTTTTTTTTTAAATACTCTGAGAATAATTTATCAAGTAAACTTTATAATGATTGAATCGAACTCGGAAATCAGATTATTATTATTATTATTCCCTTGGATTTCCGGTGGAACATAGGGTTTCAACATCACACCTCTGTTTCATCTCATTTTAGCTGGTTGCACGACTGCCTACGAATCTTCACTTCTTCCACACACAGTCTCCTCCATATCACACTGTGATCCACGCCCAACTCCTCGTTTCTCATTCGTCTTCCATTGAAAAACCTGGCGTGCGGTATTCCTCAGCAGACTGCTCAGAGTGTGTTCAACCCATCTCCATTTCCTTTGCCATATTTGCTGGTTGGGCAATAGGCTGTTGGCACAGAGGTCTTCAGAGGTGTACACCAGAGATAGCTCAAATGAACTAACTCAGATTACATAGAGGGCTTGTGTGCCATTCACAGACTGGAACTGAATCTAATAACCCATCAATTTTGACTTTCAGCGATTCGCGACTTGTAGTGTGACTGCTAGCCAGTATCATGGGTGCATATTTTTCCACACACCCAGCTTGTTGGGGCCCACTAGTCATGCTCCCAAGCAAGAAGAAACAGCTGTCTACTACTGTTTGTTGGTTTTTCAATGGTTCTCTAACTGAATTTGGGTCGTGATCAAACCTGTAATTTTGAAATGTGTATACACCAATGCATGATATATATATATATATATATGCAAATTTCTTATTCTATCCTTAGGTGAATTTACTGATGCTACGACACGTGTCTGGTTGAATACAACAGAAATGAGTGAAGACTGCCTTTATTTAAATATTTGGACAAGAGCCAACAGTAACAATTTTACACATGATGATTTGGATGCTGCTACGTTAGCTGCTGGTGAATACAATCCCCTGATGCTTGAAAGTAGTGCTGTGTTTGGACCAAAAGGTGGACGACCTGTTATGGTATGGATACATGGGGGAAGTTTAATACGTGGTTCTGCATCACTGGAAATGTATAATGGAGCATTTTTAGCTGGGAAGGTAAGTTATGAAGTATATGCTCCCGAGATGTCATCCTTTAATAGTTATGACTGTTATTTTTGAATTTTCCAGTTTTGTTGTATAGGGCTTTCTATGGTATTTAAGATGCGTCTACAAATTAACTTTCACAAGGAGGTAAGGTAGCGTTTATTTTAATAATGTTAACATAACGGTAATTTTCAATAAGTTAGGCTTCTTAAAGTGGATTTCAACAGCTTCAGCTATGTATGTAGAAGACGAACCAGTAAGTCAAAATTAAGATTCGTCGTAATATGGCAGGTAGTTAACTTTATAAGCCTTATTAAAATACACTTGATGTTTACTGTCTACAAGGTGAGCTAAAACAAAGTTGTGAACAGAAATTGTTTGTTCCCTGTTTAACCACTCCTGATGACTTTCAAAAATCTGGTGATGAAGATGCCTAATTTTATGTTCAATGTAACTGGCTCCACAGGAGCGGTAAAAACGGTAGATGCACAGAAAGGAAGAGAAATTAGGTAGTCTGTCTTCAACTTTTGAACGTAAAATTTGAGTGGTCTTGAAGATATAGTGAACTACTGCACTGAATGCTCTTTTTGCTGCACTTGTTAAGCTCTTGTTATTATTTCACGTTATACTTTATCACTGAGGAACTGAAATTCTACGAACAAGGCCTTCATCGGAACTGCTAGTGCATTAAACTCCTTTGTCTTTAGATTCATATTCTTTTCAATGAAGTTCTCTGGACAACCATTTTCACTCAATAAATGCTGGATACTCCTCCCAAGTTCTTCATTAAAGCATTCATTAGAGCATACTGTTCATGCTCTGTGGACCAAACACTTTATTAAATTGCATTTATGCTTCTACGGTATGAAGATTAGAATTGGAAAAAAAACTGAACAGTGCATGTAGGTATTTTTATATGTACCGTCCTTTATGTACCATCCTCTTCTCTAGTCATGAGGACTCCTAAAGATGAAACACTATCAATTCTTTCTTTCTCAATGGAAAAATTTATTTCAAGATGCCCATTATTAAATTTGTCAAGGATATTTTTTACTTCATTCATTCTCATTACACAATAAAAATGTGTTATCTATGTAACGGGAATAGAACTCTAGTTCCACAATTACACCATTCAAAGGTCCATTCTCTAATTTTGTGACGAAAATCTCAGCTAGACAAGTTCCTAGTGGCGACTCCATGTCCACACCACCAATTTGTCTGTAGAATTCCTTATTAAATGAAAAAATTAACATTCATTGTGCATCTCATAAGAATTTCCTTCATAGAATATATAGGAATGCCAATTCCGATTTTTTACCTAATAAGTTCTACCCCAGTGTACATATCCAATATAAAGTGAAATAGTCGTTCACAGTCATAAAAGGCCCAAATGAAACTTTCTAACCTGATATACTTATCTTCTGCTGCAGTCACTTAATTATCTACTGTAAGAAAAGTGTAATGACTAGAGGTCAAATTTTGTGCTCTGATACCATCTGCAAAGGAGGAACAAGTTCGGTATTATTGATTCTCAATCATAAGTGTCTTTATTTCATTCCTGGAAATGTAGTGAAACCTCAGAGCGAATAATAACCCGACAAAATATTGACAAGGCATTCATTCAGTGACACTGCGAATCTTCATCGATAATGGTGGGCATACAGTAAGTACTTCGGGCCGTCGATTTTCACAACAGTCACCGTTAACAAAATTATACTTGTGACTGTAACCAAATTTCCATCACTTCATAAAGTTTCTAAGTATCAGCCTCATTCATAAAAGATATTAAATTCTGGTGTCTTAGGGTCATAGTAGAATTAAGAGTCAATATCTTGCTGCTGACTGACTTAAACTAATTAGCATGATTCAGTCTATGATGCTGCATAGTACCTTAGCTTGTTAACTACAAATAATAAACCTGACTATTTAGATTTGATTACTACTGAAATCTAGTGAGGATAAGACCGTTATTTCCCTAGTGGAACGGATGAGGATATCAAAGCAGCCAGGATCAGAAAAGCGAGATAGATACGCATTAGTCGGAAATCAAAGTAGAATTCTGTTGAATTCTGAATTAGCAACTAGATTTGGATTTCCAACATTAACGTCAAGTTAGACAGTGTTTCTACGTGGTTTAGAGGCTTGAATTACACATTATGAAAAGCATTTCCAATAGCCTGCTTCAGAGTTTCATCAGCAGCTATCTTCACTGCATACTGAAGATCACATGGCCGGAACTTCGTAGGCAAAGTACCACCCAAGAACCTGCTGCCCAGTATATATGGTGAAGGAAATGGAGATTACTGGACACACACTCAGAAGACTGTCCAGTGACATCGTGTGCCAGGCAAACTCTCGAGTGTGTGATGGTGGCACAGCGGTTAGGACTCTCGTCGACCATGTACATGGTCCGGGATTCAATCCCCTGCGAAATTCGGGTTACCGATATCTCATGCTGAAAATTCCATACTTGTACCAAAAATACGGTATGGAGTCAAGTTATAATCAAAATAAAATAAATAAATAAAAAGAAATGGGAAATGACGAGTTGGGAGGGGGTCCTACTGTGACATGGGGAAACAGTGTGAAGAGGAGATGAAAGATCACGAGGAATCATGGAGCCAACTGAAGAGAACTGCAGAGAACGGTATGAAATGGAGATGTTCTGTTGGAGCCCTATGTTCGTTCCATTCGGAACCCGAGGAAATAATAACAATCATATACAGTTGGCTAATAATGTCACTCAGGGGTTAGGTTTCCTCCTACTTTAAAATCTTCATCTGGATGTACTTGTATCCTATGGAGTGATGGTGTAACAGATGAAACTCGAATCTGGTACACGGTCCTTTGGTTTGGCTATTAGCCACTACTACCAACCAAATAAAAAGCACTATGTTAACCTCAAGGCATTATCGAGGCGTCATGTCAACTTAAAAACGCAATAATAAATTTCTTATATTCATCTTAAAATATAAAATGTTACCTAAATAAATTATTTTTAATGCGCTTTCTCATCCTTATATACTATACTCGTTTTTTATTTCGCCACTACGGTCATTGAACAACAACTATTCTACAATATTGATTTTATAACTCTATGATGATTAATGATAAAGTATATAGTGAAAGTAAACAGAAACGATGATGATTGTGAAAGGGAAAATAAGTCGGTATTTGTGTGTGTGTGTGTATGTGTGTACATATGCGTGAATGCATGTCTTATTGTATGTACGTTAAACTGGGAGGTTAAGTAAACCCTTTCATTTATTAGGAAAAAATAAAGGAAAGGATATACTTCATTTTATAATCGATAAAATTAAACTCATCTTTCGAAACAGCTGGAGTATAACAACAATACCAACATCAGGGTATACTTATATTTTATTATTGTTATTATTATTCCAATGGGTTCCTAGTGGAATGAATATTGGGCTTCAATAGAACATCTACATTTCGTTCTCTCCACTGAAATCCTTTCTGGCTGGCTCCACGATTGCTTATCATCTTTTATCTCTTGCATATCACCCCCTGATCCACGCCTAACTCGTTATTTACCCTTTGGTGTTCCACTCAAGGACTCGGCTGGTGTGTGATGTTAGTCAATGGTTTCCTCAACGTGCTTCCAATCCACTTCCATTTCCTTTGGCATGTGTTTTGAGTAACAGGTTGCTTGTTGAACCATTGTCAGAGATCCCAGAGGCTTGTCCTTTTTCGCCCGCCACCTAATCTTCAGTACAAAGCGAAACGTGTAGCTGTTGATGGAATGTCCATAGCAGGCTGTTGGGAATACTTTTGGTGACGCACCAAGTCTCTGGACCATATAGAAACACTCGCCAAATTGATATTGAAAATTAATCTGATGCTCACTAGTGACTGGCCCTATTCAGGCAGTTAACCTGGGGTTCTAGTGGGAAGCCGTGACCAGTAGGGTACAGCAGGTTGAAGATGAGGCAGTAACTCACTCATCGAAGAAGACATTGCGAAATGGTCGCGCTATGTCGTGAATTGGCAGAAGTTAGAATTCAAGGACCATTGGATCGGGTCCCAGTGGCTCAATGGTCTACGAGCTCGCCTTGTAACCAGAAGGTCCTGGGTTCGAATCCCGGTGGGTGCGTACTGCTGAAGAGTCCCAAACTAGGACGAAACAGCTGTCCAGTACTCCCAGGTTTTCCAGTGGTTCTCTAACTGATGTCAGCTCATGATGAAATCCTCCATAAAATTGATATTAGTTTTGAAAATTCGAATCTCATTCTGATAACAGCAGATTTCCACACTCATTTCGAGGTAATGAATGTTTGCCTTGTTTCTCAGAACCTGGCTGGTTTTGATGCCGTCATTCGTACCACCTGTAGTCAGAGGAAAAATTATATGAACAAGTGAACATTTATCTCATTTCTGATCAACGTATACTTTTAATTAAAAGTAGAGCTATATATATCCAAACCACGTTCACTTTTAATAGTTTGAAAAATAATTTCGGCATTAGGTGTGCGATATTCTTAGGAGTTGGTTTGTAAGGATTAGATTTGTTTTTATGAGTTTGACCACGGATTGATATCAGTTAGAGAATTATTGAAAACCGGAGAGTACTGGACAGCTGTTTCATTCCAGTTTTGGAGTAATTGGCATTGATATAGATTATTATGAAAGCTTTTGTATCTACCAATGAATGGTCAGAAATTCTGTCAGTCTTACTGCTAACTTATCGCAGTCACCGGAATCAATTGGTTCGTCGCAATAAAAGCGAAATATCGCCTTGATAAGTATTCACCTGTTATCCTTAATGATGTCACAGTAAGTAGCTCCTTTCAACCTGATTTGTCGTTTGCTGGACTTTAGAGGCCTAAATCAAATCTGATATAATGTCGAAGGGATATACTACAGAAAAACCAAAAGTCAAAACGAAATAAATATTTAATGTTGCCCAGTTTTCTTTAAAAGGTTTTCATTTCGAATACTTAATTTATAATTAATATCACGCTGAAATTATTTTCTTGGTGAATCACTTTAATTACGTTAAATTTAGCACTAAATTTCACATTAAAGTAAGCAGTGAACATGCTGTCATTTGAACCACCTGGGGCTCAAAAAACACAACTATATCAGAACATCCTTCAATACGAGTGGCAAATCTCCTCCATTATGATATTTAAGGGATTGGTTAGAGGAAAAAGAATGTTCCTTTCGATAACTTCGTCTCTATCACGTTCTACAGTTGTATGCATTCTTATTAATTGCTACTAACAACTTTGATGTTTTTTAAATTAGCAATTCGCTTGATACCCGATAGATGATAGAAAAAGATTCTTCAGCACTAACTTTGCGGTATCTTTGGATTAGGTGGTTTTATGTAGAGCTGTTAGTGGTTTTAACTACACCTTTATTTAGCCATACTAGTAGTTGTTCTCGATAGTGAAGAACTTATATAACTGGCTCCACAGAAGCAGCTGAAATGATAGACAGAAACAGAGGTGGTTAGCCTAGGTACTTCGTATTTCACAACATAAGCTGCAGCTAACCGCCATTAAACGTTCTGTGAATCGATCTCCTCAGTTTGTTGCTTATTAGCTCGCTTGAAAAGAAGCTGTAAATGAAGAGGCTTCTTGTTAGCAGAAACCGAAAAATCCATTTCGGCATTCTTGGTCGTGTTTTTCATGATGAACTTTTCAGGGAAACTGTCGTCATTTAGCATGACATATATGTTTCCACTTACATCTTTGAGACAAATAGTTTTGACCGTATGGCTGAGGGTACTTACCAAATTTCACAACAAAGAAACTAATATTTTCCTGAAATGACGACATAGCTATCCTTTTAACCATTCACTTTTAGGTGTTAAGGATGATGCAAAAGTACAGAACATATTATCAAACATGATCATTCATCCATTTGTTTTTTGTGTTCCGAGTGAAGCATACGGTTTCAGCTTTGAAATTCCACCATGGATAATGTTGTTTTCTACAGGGTGGGGTTGCTAACCTAACATCCAGTCCACTCTCTTTTCCTGAATTACCGTCAGTTAGTGAATTAAGATAGGTTTAGAAGTACGTCAGTCGGGACGACAAGCGTAGTTGGCACACATTTTACTCTTAAACCATCAACGCGCAAAACCATACCTACCTTAAAACTAATTATATTGGTGTTGACATCAACTTGTTTAGTGCTTCACGGTGTTTGCATATGCGTAGGAGAATAGAGCATAACAGTGATCCTGTTAAGTAGTAGAAAATATAACGACTTTTTCAAAAGTAATGTTTTCTTATTTAAGTCTTTTCACTTTCTTTTTTTAATGTTTTACCTTCCTATTACAGATGAACGTTGTAGTTGTTAGCATACAATATCGATTAGGTCCACTTGGCTTTTTATATTTGGGTGATAATGAAGTGCCTGGAAATCAAGGATTAATGGATCAAGTTGCAGCTTTTCAGTGGATCCGTGAAAATATTGCCTATTTCGGTGGAAATCCACAACAGTAAATTGCTACTCTGCTTTTTTGTTTTCTACTTGAATACAATTTGAGTCATGTTTTTAATCAATGCACAACGTATTTTTGATGTATAATAATTATTATGCAGTATTTTGAAGTAGTCGTCACAGCGGTTAAATGATCAGGGAGCCCTTCTCGTAACCTGAAGGTCCTACGTTCGATCCCTTGTAGGGTTATAGGTGTGTACTTCTACAGAGTTCCACCTAGGGTGAAAAAGATGTCCGGTAGTCCCTAGCTTTATGCGTTGGTGATTTAATGGTGGAATAAAAGCCAGCCACGCCTCACGTGGTCGCAATTTGATTTCCGATTGACGCACTCCTAAACCTTGCTTAGTTTGTCTTAAGCCCAGTAAAGATAGAAGGTTTAGGTGGAGTTAATGTGAGGCTAACAGTCCGCCCCCCAATATAAGAACACCACTGCTGAGGAAGATTGAAGCACTATTTCCCTCTTCAGAACGTAAAAGGAATACAATTTTTTTGAAGCTTACGTCACTAACCAGTGTTAGCTAAAAAGCCTTCAATAAATGTTGTAGTGTAATGCCACTTCTCTTCATACTGATGATTAGAAGGCCTCAAACAAAGGATAAGCAACAATAAACTTTTCCGGAAAGCCAACCAACCAATAACTTATCACCCAAAAAATATGCAGAAGGAAATGGCGATAGATTAGATACGTTGAAGGAACCGCTGAATAACGTCACGTGCCGTTGGGAAATGAAGAGCTGGGTGTAGATCAGAGGATGCCATGAAGGAGACTGTGTAAGAAGTATGTGAAGGATGATGGGCAATCTTGGATCCAGCTAAAAAGGACTGCGGAAAAAAGGACTAAATGGATATGGTATTGAAGCTCTAGATTCTACCTGGTGCCCAAGGCAGTATATTACTACTACTAATAATTTCATGTAATTTTGTCTCCTGGTGTTACATGAGATGAGTTAGATCTGCGCAAACTTAGCAGCTGGCTATCAACTTTATGTGAAGTTTCCTTTAATTTTATTCTCTTCCGTCATGCTTCATTTGTCTCTTTTATTTTTTTATTTTTTCAAAACACACTTTAGAGTAACAATTTTCGGTCATTCTGGTGGTGTGATCTGTGTTGCACTACACTTAATCTCACCAATGTCTAACAATTTGTTTCAACAGGCAATATTACAAAGTGGTTCACCATTAGCTTGGTGGGCAGTGGAAAGTTCACATACTGCTTTGGAGAAAGTAAGTCATGTAATTAACTAAATAATGCAATAATTCTGATGAACAAATTTGTTAATGTTCGTTTTTATTTTATATACTACTGAAATATAAACATAAGTAATTAGGTAACATTCACAGTAACCAGGAGTGCTTGTTAGTCAACCAGATCGAAGTGATCTAAAAACTAGACGGCCGTCTCACTCGTTTTAGAGTGAGCTCATTAGTGCCGTGCCCGGTATGACTCAGCTCCGAGAGACGAATCAGTTCAAGCTACTCGAATTCCGGCTAGATATTTGGGTGAACTGGTTATTCCTTGAATTAAATTCACCTCGAGCTGTGTAAATTTCAAATTACGAATTTGATTAACCGTATTTTGTCTGAATGAACATTAGTGCCCTTTAATCTGGGATAGAAGGTTCTGACTAGGGGAGTATCAAAAACGGTCAGATTTGTAATATATTTTTCATTCATATATTTATATCAATTAACTAAAAATTTGCACCCAGGATTAACTCTAAATATCTTCCATTACATGTATATGAACTCCGATTAGGATTTAACGAAGTGGTTCCGCAGACACTGGGTGCCTAGTGGGGTTTTTAGTTTACATAGTTTTTACATGCGTCAGTGGTTCATTGGTATAATATTTATCAAACATCCAAGCGGTCCGGGTTTCACTGCCTAGCCAGCACACTCTTAAAACTTTACTTAGACGGTGGTAAGCCCGGTAAAGAGGGGAGGTTGGGAGTGAGGCCAGCAACTACACGTTTTAGAAAAGAATAACACGACCGCTGCTGAAACGTCAAGGTCTAAAATGAAGATCTATGTTACACTCAAAATGCAAAGGAATAAAACAATAATAATAGTCATTACATATGCTTTTTTTACAGATTGTAATGTTTTTTGTCGTGTGTTCTTTCATTTGTTTGTTTTAAAAGGCACGTTTACTAGCACACTTAAGTGGATGTAAAGTTGTCTCTGGTGCAAATGGTGGAAACTCAAGAGATTTAGCGGATTGTTTAAGAAGTGTAGATTCAGAAACATTGGTTGTCAATCAATGGCATATGCATTTGTTACGTAATGGAGAGAATTCCTCACGAACTATTCAGTTGAGAAGATTGTATCAAAATAGAGCAAGTCATCATGTAAGTGTTTCCTTTGTTTAATTTAATTTAGCATTTCCTGTTGATTGATAATATTGCACGGAAATGTTCAGTCTCTGTCGACATGCCAGCTACTAGTACGGATGCTTCGATAATGTCTGAGGATCAACTTGGGTCATTTTGGTGGATGGCGACCAGCAATGGAGCCCAGGATGCTAACTTAGTCTTAGTAAGATTTCATCAGCTGGGTGCACGTGCATTCTCACTGAGTGATGGTATTCCTGCTGAAATTCGAACGCAAAAGCGTTATCTACGATGCATTTTTGGTTTGAGTCTTAATGAGGACAACATAATAGCTAACTCACTGGGAATGCAAATACATCCTGTGGATTAGTCCCGAATAGGACGGAATGCTCATCGTAGATCTCACTACCGATTATCATCCATCAAATAGTATGTTTTGTTCAACTAACTTAAATTTGCAGAACAGTTTCATTCCTGTAAAATCCGTCATCTACTTACTGATAATACTGCTAAGTTTGAGGATATCTCTTTAAGACTATCGAAAGAAGTCATGAATTAAACATGCCAACATAGAATTCCATGAGATCGTTGTAAGTTACAAGGCAGCTATGGAAAAACAGTCTGTGTGACACAGATTCTCTGACTGCATTGACATTTAAAAACATCTGCCTATGTTATTTACACATTCTGATGATGGTGAATGTAATTAGGAATAAGAGTGAAGTTAAATACAGCCTCCCATTGGTAGTTCTTAACAGCTTAAGGTAAAAAGTCTGTTGCAATGTTATGTCGCCTAACTTGGTGGTGACACAGCAAATTAGGTTGATAATTCCTGAATGCTGACGGGTTAAAGTGTAAGTTACAGAGATAAAAAGTAATCTGCTTAATCCTGAAGGGAAATGTGTTTTTTAGACTGTTATCAGTGGAGCAATCAAATGAAGGTTAGTATTCTGTTCTCAGAGGTACTAAAAATACATTTCAGTAAATTAATTTTGGAGCTTTATTGAAGTACAAGAATCGTTCAGACTGGAAAATGAACATTCTTTTAATAGTTTTCAGATCATGATTGAAGAGTTTGAGAGAACTAGTCTAGAATAGATGTCAGGATCATAAAATTTTGCTTTATAATTCTACGGTTGAGAATTAAATAGTAAAATTTAAAAATAAAACATTAAGTATTGACAAGAACACAAGTATTTTGGACCGAACAACACGGTCCTGCCATCTTCCGAATAGGTTACAAAACTCCCATTGGAGATCATAATCATCGGGACCCAACAAGTCGAGAGATAGGACAAATACTCGTCGATGACATTGCATTGAGGTCACCCTGAATATCTCAAATTGGTAAACGTAATAATTTATGGGCCAGTCATTGGTCTTCGCTGCAGAGGCTTAATAGTATGCAAGGTCGACTTGTGACGTGAATGTCTTGAGTTCGATTCCCGGTGGGGTGGGTTATGGGTGCATAGTGTGAAGAGTCCTTAAAAATGATGAAACAGCTATTCAGTTCCTTCTAGTTTTCAGTGACTTTTTTAACTGAAGACAATTTGTGATCAATACTGAAATCAGTCACATCATTGCAAACCAACCTTCACAAAATTCAGGGAGTCACGAACAGCCAAAGATTGTATTCTAGCAGCGGCAAAAACTCACTTCAACATGATGAGATCTGGAATACGAAAGAACAATAATAAATCATAACAAAAATACAAAAATAATTCAACAACGCCTTAGGCACTTGTACATTCCGGATGTTTCTCAGGTACAAAGTACATGTTACGTAGCAAAAATAGCTGACCAGACAACACGAGACTCAAATACGTGAGAATTAACAAGAATATTCTCAACAAAATGGGGTCAGAATTTCTCAGTTTTCAAGAACCGAACAGAACAAACTGTATGTCCCATAGAAAGTCGAAGAGCAATTAGTCACTTTGTGATATAAGCCTCAGTTCACGCAAACGAAATCTCAGTAATAAAACAGCTCATTATTGTTAGCAGTCCAGAATCATGTGGTAATAAACTGAAACAGTGAGAACAAGATCCACTCACAAAACAAAGACACATAATACAGATCAAGTCCAAAAGAGATTTGAAAAGTGCTAGAATGCTGATATATATAAGTGAGGAATAAAAGATAATTATAAAATTAGTTGAAACACTCAAATAAATAATTAATACTACAAACACATTGTTCAGAAAGGATTTTCAGATCAGTTATTCTAATAACCTTACATTTTTACAATATCCGCTTAAATTAACTTCCTTTTCCTCTCTGTTCAGTTAAGAATCCAGTCAAAGATATCCAAACAATGTATTTTAAAAATATGATTGGCTAAAACAGAGAACAACATTTGAACAATCTTAGTTCAGCGAAGAGTCTCTTTTCGGCGAATTCATTCACTTAGCTGTACAGTCGCAAATATATATACAATTATTTTGTGTGTGTGTGTGTGTGTACATTAGGTTTGTCAAAATCAAAATAACAGTTAGTGTGGGTTGTTGATTATATCATCAAAATAATGAAGAAGTTAAAATGTGTGATTAATAATCAAAGTTGTAACTAAGTTGGGTGAAGATTGGTAAGATGTGAGTATGGTTACGTAATATAGACATGTTTAGAAAGATTAGATGCTAGTGAAGGAGTTTGGAGACAATTATGAAAATAAACTAGATAATAGGTGAAAAGATTGAATGGGTTAGTTACTAAAAATTGTTATACGAAAAATTGCAAAAAAATTTGATAACAAAATGTTGATGGCAAATAAACTTGAAATTAAACCCACGGTAGTAGGAGGGGGTGGAGAAGTTTCTTCTGTGTGCATAACTCAGGTTTTTCCATCCAAATCGCTAAGGCTTCAGCAATACAAAGTATACGGAAGCTTGTCGATTTTGGAAGGCTTCTTTTGACTTTATAGATGACTTTGAACGACTTCTCCTTGCAAATCGAATGACCAGTGCTCAATAATGGCACTCCTTATTGCTCCGTTGTTACCTTTCCGTAGCCAGACGGGATAGTGTTCTTGAACTCTTTTAGATAAAACACGCATCGAACGACCTATATACCTCGCTCCGCAAGAGCAGGTGAATTGGTAGATACACATGGAAGTGGTCAAATGCGACAGTTTATCTTTAGAGTAGTTGAAGAACAATGGCCGGGAGGAAAATGTCAGTCGTAGTGTGGCAGCGAAGAATGTCCTTCTGAGAGCGGTAGATATCCTCTTCTTCAAGGTGTCAGCCAGAGGTTCACCTTTGAAGGGTACATTCATGTAGACCATCTTCTTCTGCACTGTAATGGGTTGTTCTTTGTACGTCTTAGGCTTAATGTGCTTGTCTATAAAACGGGGTGGGTAGCCATTCTCGAGCAGTGTCTTCCTTAAGAGGGCGATCTCTTCCTCTATTGATTCAGGACTACAGATTTTTCGGATTCTAGTCGCCAGAGATATTATCAAATTTCTCTTGCGACTTATTGGTACCCAACTGTAGAAGTTTGTCAACTGACTGTTCCATGTAGGTTTTCTGTGTACTGATCTGTTCAAGGTACCATCGGTCTTCTTACTTAGACGAACGTCCAGAAAGGAGATTGTCTCATTGGTTTCTACTTCGATTGAAAATTTGATGGCAGGGTGGCAACTATTGAAAACTTGAAGAACAATATTTTGATCACAATTGTGATCGCAGATGACGAAAGTATCATCGACATACCTTTTGTATAAGAAGAATTTGTCGATGGTTGCTTTCAGCGGACCGTTTTCCAAACTTGCCATGAAAATATCAGCCAGCACCGGACCCAAAGGTGATCCCATCGCCACACCATCTTGTTGTCTATAGAAGTTCCCATTGAATGTGAACTGGACATTTAGGGTACATCTGAGTAGGAGTTCTTTTAGCTTGGTGGTAGGTATTCCAATATCCAGGTTGTTTTCTTCCAAGTATTTGCATAGAAAACAAATCGTCTCAGTGATAGGGACGTTTGTAAAGAGAGACTCGACGTCGAATGAAACCATACGTTTGTCTCCCACTTTAACATCTTTGATGCGATCGATGAATTCAAAGGTATCCCGAAGAGAATGTTTTGAAATTCGTTCTCTAACAGGTTGTAGGAGTTCTGCTAGCCATTTCGCTATTGGATGATATGGAGATCCCGACATGTCCAAAATAGGGCGCAGTGGAAGACCCTGTTTATGAGTTTTTGGCAATCCGTATAGTCGGGGTATTATTGAACCTGTGAGTCGAATGCTCTCGAAGACATTTTCAGAGATAACTTGATCAGTCTTTAGCTTTCTCAAGATCTCAGTTAGCTGTTTCTCCGTTGCTTCGGTTTTGTCTTTCTCTTTTTCGAATACTGAGAACTTATTGTTGTCTGAGAGAATCGCCATCATTTTATTAATATAATCTTCTCTATCCATTAAGACTATGCCTGTACCTTTGTCAGGACGTGTGATGAGCAATTCTTTGTTCTGCCTCAGTTGGTTGAGTTGTTCTCTATGTTCTTTGGTCAAAAGATTGTTGAACTTGGACTTTGTATTGAGATACTGTTGACAAGAGTCTAGAATAGTGGACTTGAAATGTTTGAATTCTTCTTCGGAAGCTGGGACAAGATCAGTAGTCTGATTGATCAGATTTTCAAACTCGACATAAATATTGAGCTTGCTTATGTTGGAGTTCATGTCGCAGAATCTTGGCCCGAGAGACAAGGCCTCCAATTGTATGGGAGATAACGTTACTGAAGAATAATTGAACACAAATTTGGTAGGATCTTCTGGAAACTTGCGTCTTGTTTCAGTAGCTTTGAGGCTTTTCAATAAGTTAGAATGGATGGATTGTGTACGCTTCTCCGTAACCACAGTGACATAGTCGGTAAATGCTTGTCGTTCATCACAAGACAATTCGTGTAACGCAGAGGATCGTTGCGCTATGTTCCTCTCGAGTTCTGGCACACGTGATATAATGGAATCGATATGGTTCAGAGTATGACGCTTGAGGGATTTAGAGTTCGGATAAATGTGATTGCGACGTAGAGCTTTCCAATACCACTTGGGATATTCATGACTATTCATACAGTCTCTGAGAAAACTAATCTTCGCATTAACTTCAGCAAGCTTGACAGAATATCGCAGAAACCCATTCAGTTCCTTCACTGTCGGAGGGTCCTTGCTTATTTTTAATTCGCGAAATATACCCATTAAGACATTGAAATAAGAACAAATTAGTTCAGCGAAGAGTCTCTTTTCGGCGAATTCCAATTCTACCAATTCACCTGCTCTTGCGGAGCGAGGTATATAGGTCGTTCGATGCGTGTTTTATCTAAAAGAGTTCAAGAACACTATCCCGTCTGGCTACGGAAAGGTAACAACGGAGCAATAAGGAGTGCCATTATTGAGCACTGGTCATTCGATTTGCAAGGAGAAGTCGTTCAAAGTCATCTATAAAGTCAAAAGAAGCCTTCCAAAATCGACAAGCTTCCGTATACTTTGTATTGCTGAAGCCTTAGCGATTTGGATGGAAAAACCTGAGTTATGCACACAGAAGAAACTTCTCCACCCCCTCCTACTACCGTGGGTTTAATTTCAAGTTTATTTGCCATCAACATTTTGTTATCAAATTTTTTTGCAATTTTTCGTATAACAATTTTTAGTAACTAACCCATTCAATCTTTTCACCTATTATCTAGTTTATTTTCATAATTGTCTCCAAACTCCTTCACTAGCATCTAATCTTTCTAAACATGTCTATATTACGTAACCATACTCACATCTTACCAATCTTCACCCAACTTAGTTACAACTTTGATTATTAATCACACATTTTAACTTCTTCATTATTTTGATGATATAATCAACAACCCACACTAACTGTTATTTTGATTTTGACAAACCTAATGTACACACACACACACACACAAAATAATTGTATATATATTTGCGACTGTACAGCTAAGTGAATGAATTCGCCGAAAAGAGACTCTTCGCTGAACTAATTTGTTCTTATTTCAATGTCTTAATGGGTATATTTCGCGAATTTGAACAGTCGTCTACTGATTATACTTATCACGACCAGCAGTTTATTGGATCTGTAAATTATGACTAACAACTAGACCAACTATCGACCAATCAAATTTCACATAATGCTGTCACCTGCCACTGACGGCTGGTTTGACCATCTTGTCATTTGTTATACTTCGTACACATGGTTCACATCATAACTTTCGGTCTATGTTGTTAACGTTTTGAAGTGCCTGTTAAATGATCATTATACAGTTTAAATCGCTTGTTTTAAAGGCAGTTTATGTGTTTCTAACCGTGACTTAGCCTAGTTACCGAGAACTTTAGGAACAATTCGGTGTATGGGAGTTATTCGCTCAAAGTTGAAAAAATGTTTGCCTTAGCCTAAGTAATACTGAAAGTGTTCTCACTGCACTACATAGGTATGCGTGGCCAGTATCGCTTATGAGAATTTATAAATGCATATATTGAATCAAATTCTGCTAGAGTAAATGCTGAAAATCAGTTGGTCTTAAGCACTGAGTTGAGTCAGTGATTCTTAATTTTCTATTAATGTACTTATCTACTAAGTGTCTTTTGTGTATTATATCTTATCTTATTAAAACTACTTTTCCTTTAAATAGCTATTAAGTACTGCTGGTTATTATTTCGATGTTCCATTTAAACCTGTCATCACAGCACCATTTCTACCTGAATGGCCATATGAAGTATTAGGTTCAGGTAAATTGAATATTCGCCATCGTATCATGTTGGGAGTTAATAAAGATGAAGGTAAGCATTCAGTTCTATTGTTTGCCTTCTGATTATTGAACAATACTGTTTCCTCTGATTACATAAATTTATTGATTTGCTTATTCAGGATTACCTGAATGTTTAATAAACTCTTAAATATATTTTCAAGTATTGGTTTTGTAGGGATTTTGTTTGATTGGTTGGAGGATTTCATCATGAGCTGAAATTAGTTAGAGAACAACTGGAGAACCTGGGAGTACTGGAAAGCTGTACCAGTGGTGAGTGGTTGGCGAGCTCCTCAAAAACCTGCGCATAATTTAAATATATATGATGTCTGACTCAAATCCTTCCGGAACAGAAAATTTTATTCCGGTCTTAATCAACACATTATACGTCATTTTTAGTCTGCTAGCCATTTGTTTGTCTCAAAAAGTTTCACCAACAAGAAATTATTAGCTGTTAGGTTTTCAGGAATCCGACTGGATTCAAGGTAGACTTTTTCGCAAACTGAAATTAGTTACAAAACTCCTTTAAACTATGCAGCACTGCATAGATGTTAGGTGTTAATTCAAAAGCATTCAGTATTTCTCCTATGCAAGGACCTTCAAACTGTTAGACAGTAGTATTGCCATTCAGCGACAGAGTTAGAATACAATAGTCCATGAATTCTAGTTTTTTTTCTAATCACTTCCCAATGAATAACATTACTGTCATCCTCATGACATTGGTAAATAATTCTCCTCACAGCTGATATAGAATTTTCACAGCATCTCAATAGGAGAACTGTAGTAAATTCACTTTGAAGCTAGTCATTACTGATCAGCTATTGATTAATGTTTCGATATTCAATCTTTCAGGATCTGGATTATTTCAATGTGTATACAAAGGTGTTTGATTAGATTCTTCGATTTGCAATAGAATTTAGGACTGATGTTTCATTCTGTTAGAAAATTATTTATTTAAATGTTCGTACAGTAGTAGTGCTGATAATAGCTGACCATTTTACGACTTTAAATCAGCGGTGGGAAAACTAAGGAAGTACTTTTTGCCATTTGTAAGAATAATGTAACTCAGTATATGGAAGTTCTTCTACTAGATACTGAACCGCGTTCTTCAATGGAGTCAGTAATACAATTTGGCTGCTGATTGCTAGCTTAGTAGGTAGAACACTTTTTAAACTCATAACCTCGTTGACACAGAATTCAATGTTTAGGTTTCAGTTTTATCAGTCAGAACAGGCGGGATATAGTACGAAGATGACAACTACGTAGACAGCTTCCTTTAAGATTTTGACTATTTCTAAAACGATAGATGAAAATCATCTTTACTGGAACTGAAATGATGAAAAAATCTTTACTCACTAATGCATATAAAATATCAAAGTTCAAAGCCAGACTTGATTGTCTTAAATTCTAATTTCTTTTGAGAGTTCATCCAACTGCGTCCCTGGTTAACGCAAAATGAAACAACTAAAAGGGTTGAATACAGCTTCAAAGATTTTGGTGTGAAATTTATGAATGAATGGATAAGAAATTTATTCGGTTGATAAATGTTGTCGGCATTTTTGTGCCCTTGAAACCATTGTTACGAGGACGTGAAAAATAGTAGAATAGGCTAATATACGTTATTTGCGATACAATCAAAGTTTCAGCCTCACTTCCTGAGGTAGCATTCACATTTTTAATCAACTTTTGTAAGATATGACAATCTCCTCTACTGTATTTATGGAAATGCTTATAGATTATTATTATTATTTTTCCTTTGGATTCCTAGTGGGACTTAGGGCTTCAACGTTTGGTCCTGTTTTCTGTGGTCCCCTTTATATAGTCCCACGATTGCCCACAGTCTCTCATCTCCGATGCAGTGTAGAATTCAAAACCCGTGAACACAGTAATTTCCACTGTTATCAATGATAGGACAGTATTATTAGTAAACGTAGTGTAACAGCAGAAGGCAAGACACGGAAGCCAAGGTATATTTTCAACTGATCGAACCGCTATTATTTAACCAATCACTGAGCGTGTGATTTTGGCTTACATTAAATTACATGAAACGGAATGTTCAAGTACACATAGTATTCTGTTGCTACACAGCATGAACTGTGGGAAAATGTGAGAATCATATTTCGTTGGAACACATTGTCTGTATCACACCACCACAGTATTGGTAGTAGTAGTGAAGTGACTCCTTGATGCACATGCCAAGTTTATACTGTAAGCATTATATAAGGTTGAAGTATTTTGATTAGTAGTAACTAATAGTGGAATCTAGGATGTAGGTTTCATCCTAGTTGTGGTTCGTCAGTTGCATATACCTGCATTCCCAGTAATGATGTTTCCATTGAGACTTGACACGTCAACATAGACCAATCATTTCGATCCAACCTAATCAATCTGTGGGAAATGCAAAATTAACCTAAAAGGCTGAGGTATAATAGGGAAAAAAGATATGCTAAGAGTACTGGATTATTTTTGTTCTGTGAGCTGACTGATTTAACTGCGAAGCTTTCGTCGTCCTTCTAGACAACATCTTCAGCACACGTCTTAGTATTAGATGAAGTCATTTAAATTCTTCATAAATGGTGTAATTGTATCTCCCGGCAACCACTGTCGTGATTGGTTGTTAATTTACGTCTCTATTGATCAATTTTATTGACATGGAATTCGAATTTCGCTGCCATGTGATTTACTTTTGATTAGCCGGTAAATTTGGTCTATAACAATGTGTTTGTTAACTGCTAATTCCCTTGAGTACCAGGCTTCTGGGAACTCCCTGTTTCCGCAATTAAATCAACTATTTCAGAGAACACAATTAATTCAATATTATCCACCTGAGCTACAAATCTTCTCCATTATTTCAATGTGCTAAGAGTCTTAGAAAAGTCTACTGTCTGTTCAAGTTATTCATTGTCCTGAAATTCAGAGAACCCTTTTCTTATTCCATCTCAATAACTTCATTTTCTTTCTGTTTCCTTTTTATTCCTTTGGGTTCCAAATGGAGCACAGGACTTCAGGTGTGAGCTATGAAGTCTTAGAAGCAAAAATGCTTTCAAGGAGTATGGTTACTAACCTTATGCTTAGCCTTCCCTGTTTTTACTGGGCTTACAACCGGCTAAGCGAAGTTAAGCGGAGTATGCCATTCGTGAATCAAACCATGGTTAATGGGCGTTCTATCACTGAAACACCGACATCTGAAAACGGAATGACCTGTCTATCAGTGAAATCCAGAATGCCTATTTTGTCTTATTCAGCAGTCACCAGTTGGATATACATGTACCTCAGTGAGTGAGGGCGTTCCCACTGATACTCGAACCCATTACCCATCATTTCAAACACCAAACCATTATCACCTAGGTCATTGAACTACTTCTAAGTGACTTGAGTTCGTTCATGTTCAGAATACTAATCAATGGAATTCTCAACAATGCATAGCATGTGCACCATTATTTTACAATCAATTGATTATAAGAAACATGATATATTTACTTTTTTATATCATTTTCTGACCTCCTGTTGATTGTTTTTTCTGCACAGGTATTTATCATCTTGTCCATGGCCTACGTATGTATTTTATGTCACCTGGATTATGGCCACAGATGCCAAGCGAATTCCGTCATGATACAGCAATAATGGATCCATTGGATTTATTAGCATTTTATATTATGGATGAAAATTTTCTCCAGTCAATTTTACTACAGGCTACGGTATTTGAATACCAGGTAAGTTAGTGAAAAAATTGATTTATAGTTTCATATTTTGGGTTTTGTGTACTCTTTCGCTCTCTGAGTGGAACATAGGGCTTCAGGCTCTATGTTCTAAAGTTTCACTGGCAGTGGTGTTGTTATCGTTTACAGGATGCGTTTACTAGCGTCATTGTACTCATTCTTTCCTCTTTTCCTGGCTTACTGTCATTTAGTAAACCAGGGGAGGCATAAAAAATGTGTCAATTGGGAATAGAACCTCTGACTAGGACAGTAGTTGGCAAGTACTCTAGCAGTGAGCCATAGAGTTAGGGCTTTTGTTAATGACCGCATAAAATTTCCAGGATCTACATATAAAGTGATGGGTTAATTCCAGGCTTAAGAAAAATTCTGTGTGACATTATAAAGTAAACAGAAGAATCTACAACATAAAGAAGTGTCTAGAAGTTTTGCAGATGCTACCCTTTGATGAGACTATGAACTAATAAACCGATTCCATAATTCTATCTACTAAATAACAGTGTACAAGTGCGCGAACATATGTCAAATGCTTGTTAATGTAGACTTCAGAAAATCAGCCCACCAGCTGACTTCAGCAATACTCACTAATGTAGAAGTTCAGTAGAAATTTCATAGAAAGAGTACAAATTGTTTAAGTTTATGACTAGAACCATTAAGCTGTTGATCACAAATATGGTTTATCAGACCGTTCAGGAGGCAGTCTGGACAAACCAAAGCTCGTAATAAATCGAAATAATTTTCCGTCTGTTGTGGAAATCAGGACTGATCACGAAATGAAACCAGTTAGAGAGCCATTAAAAATCGGGGAGTACTTGACATCTGTTTCTCCCCTTTTGGGACTCTTTAGTGGTATTCACCTATGAAACCACCACGAGAGACCAAACCCACAGCCTTCAGGGTACAACACGAGCTCATTGATATTTCGGTCACTTGGACATAATCCGATGGCTCATCACTTCTAACTTTCGCTAGTTTGCGACATGTAATAATGTTCTTTTATCTCTTATGACAAAGCGTTTCAATTTTTCATCGGTCATTCTTGTCTATGCCATATTGTGCTTATGAAAAGGAATTATTACGATAGAAGAGTTATTAAGTTTAAGTTGTTAGCATTCGACTGAAATTCTGAGTTTAACATAATCCTGAGGTAATATTTTGTTAGAAATCGATTTGGTAAAGTATTTTAGAATTTTAAAATCATGACACTTAGTAAAACGAAAATCTTTTCAATAGTATAAAAAACACAGTAATTAGACTCACTTTGTTCTTACCAAAATGGTTTTAAGTAAAAATGTCAAACGAAAAAGTTTTAATAAAGCAAACAGAAAATTCCCATATTGAGTCACAAACAAAAAAAGACGTAACAGCGAAGAAGATTTTCTTTTCGACACAAATCATTTTCAAGAGATGATGTACGATCGTATTTATATTTTTTTCTTCTAGAGCGTTAGCGTTACAGATGCGTTGAATTAGAATGGCAAAGGATTCAATAGAGTTTCGTTTTCATTCAAGAGTCACTCAAATGTCGAAACTTGTTAGATGACCGTTGCATGGGTTTCCGATGAACTTACCACCTTTAGGCTTCGTCAGGTTTTCTTGTCAATTCCACATCAAGAGAAGGAATTCTGGATTCATTTTCCGTTTCAACATTTATTTATTAGCTGCTGTCCAGCAATAAAATTCTGTCCTAATACGGAAAACGAATCCGAAATTCCCTCTCTTGATGTTGAACTAATAAGAAAACCCGACAGAACCTTAAGAAGGTCAATTCTTAGAAAACTTTTGAGACGGCCAAGTAACAAATTTTTACATTTAGTTGCCTGTTGAAAGAAAAATATTTTATTGAATCCCTTGACACTCACACTCAATGCATCTGTAGCCACAGGGCTCTGGAAGCAGAACTAAATCTTCTGAAAGAAATCTTTACCCAAAATGGACACCTATCGAGATCGTATTTATATTTAACGAAGAATTTATAAAATCATTCAGATACTGGTGACTTTATTTTAGAAATTGTATTACATGATATGAGGTGTAATCTAGAAGAGGATGACTAAGTTGAGATTAAAAAAAAGGTCAGAAGTTGGGATTACTCTATGAGTGAGAGAAATGACTAATCGGTCTACATACACAAAATGTACAAAAGCTAGTGGAAATAAGGTAGTATCCATATAAAATCAGTACCGAGAATACAGTGTTACTGATAAACAATAGTGCTGAAAGCAATAAATATAAAATGATAACAACAGTCATAATAAAATTAAACAAAAAAATGAAATGAAATTATTGCGAGAATGTTACTGTGACCACGGTATAATGAGTGAATGTACGTAATGCCCTTGAACGCAGAAGCCCAGTTTCAGGTCTCGAATAGCCAGTGATTCGGTTGTGTATAAAAGACGTTTTCGAAATCCTTTCGTGCTATATTGAGGAACTCTTTGTAGCACTGTGAAGCAGTCATTCGGAGGTACGCAGTATCCAGAGTTAACAATAGTGCTTGGGAATGGAGCTACTAGTGTGGTGAGAGCTGGCTGCTAGCCAAAGTTGGTAGACAGTAATTGACGTCAATGTTTATCTCCCCAATATTGGTGGTGAGAAAATGAGAACAAGGGTTTTGCGTAGGCGGATACAGTCAGCATATGGATGATCTGACACAGCCACAAAGGGATGGAAGGTTAACTTTCTGTGAGAAGCAACTAATAAAAAGACTGTATTTTATACTAACAATAATCTACAATAATGTACATTAAAATCTATAAATATGTGTTGATTTTCCTTAATAAACGATCTGTTGCCTGGCCCTTGTCTTCTGTTGTTACACTAGTATTCTTCTTTTCTCCTTTGTCTAGTCAGACTGAACAGTGTCCCAAAATGCATTTGTGTACTTGGTGCTGTGTACGATCGATGTATTTTTCTCCACATGAACAAAAGCAGTGTCTTATCCTTAACACATATGGATTAACTGTCGACTAGAGAATGCGATTGGATAAGTGACTGCTCGAAATGAGTTCTTCAGACACATGGAAAGGAGGTTTCTGAGAATTTTGGCTTCAGTGTAACCCTTGAACTCCAAAGTCATAAATTCACAGTGAATGTATTTTGTGTTATTCAAATGTGCATGTAGATGGTTGAATAGTGACTGACAAATTTGTCAGTTTATTGTATTTCTCTACAATTTGTGGGTTTCACCAATTTAGGGATACACAAGAATTATAAAAAAGGCGAAATTTCTGTCACGAATCGCCATCAATTAGAGGATTATTTCAAACCGAGTAGTTCTCGATGACTGTCTTATCCTAGGTTGTGGGTACAGATAGAATATGTTCAAATTAAACTGAGAACCATCCGTTCTCACAGAGAGCACGTTGCCATTCACTCACTATACCTTGAGGTTGTGAATTTCGGAAACTATGCATCACTAAGTTTCAGAGTGATGACTAATTGCCACGTTTGATATCTCATGAAGTGGTAGATATAGAAGAAATGAAGAATTCCTACTCATTAATCTTCAGTATTAACTGATAGTTCTCTGGAAGATATTGATTTGTGACAAAATATACCAGCGCACAGTCATTTCAAAAATTCACTCCTATTCTAAACTTTTGTTAATTTATTTCGATTTAGATTCCCAGCCGGGCCCTAGGAACTGATAGTTGGACATCACTGGAGGTTGTCAAGGCGTTGAATGAAGTTGGAGGGGATTATAATATAAAATGTCCAGTTGTTGAATTCGCTGATTTTTATTCACGTGGAACAAATGCACAGGTATCAAATTTTCTTTGATTGACTGATTCCAGTTTTCATGATCGTTTTTATTACTGTCATCATTACTATTATCATAAAAAATACAAACTTTTGCGTGTACCTAAAGGATGACATTCCGCAGAGTGATCTGTTTCAAGTTTGATCACGAATTGACCTCAGTTAGAGGACCACTGAAGACCAGCAGGAAGGAATGGGTGATTGTCTCGCCTTTGTTTGGGACTCCTCATTAGTATAAACCCGTGACCCAGTCCACCACTGATTGAACCCCTGGACTTTCCAGTTGCAAGGCTAACCATTCATCTGCCACGATGGAGTCCAACGGTCCATGAATTCTGACTTCTGCTAGTTCACGACATATAGCATGATCGCCAGCCAATGAGTATCTGTCCTCACAACCAGTTTGGTGGACGCCAAAGATCATGACTTTCCTCTAGAAATCCAGGCTTTGAAGCATACTTCGAATGAGATAGTACTGTTTAAGGTGATGTACTATCCATTATTATATAATTTAAGGATTCTACTCACAGGGTAAATACCTTGCAGTGGAACTAGTTGAATATTCTGTATTATATAAAAACACATTTTTTCAGAATAAAGCTATTATTACTGACTAACTTTCTAGTGAGGTAGCTATAGAAATTACATGTAGGTGGAAGTTGAACACCTGAACAGAATATCTATGGTGTCTCCCGGTTTCAGATGTTCAACTCTAAATCATACATCCAACAACAACATATGGATTATAAACTCACTTTCAGCATCATATTCAAAGTTTAAAATTATGAAAATTCATAGGAGTTCCCCATTAGTATTTTAAATGGCAATAATATTTTGAAACGTATTTAGTCAAATAAGTGGGTTAGTTTTACAAATCTGACAATAAACATAGGGACACTATGTAGTAACTAGTGTCATGCGTCAAGTCCTTCGCTTGGTGTGGACTGAATTCTATCAGTCAGTTTGAAATGTAATCCTCAAGTTAGGTATTCAGTTAAAGCGTCCATTACAGTCCTACAGAAGGTCAACCGTAAGCTCGAACAGCTCAGCGATAATGTTTCTGACTGCAGTACTGCGAGACTTGGGCTTGAACCTCAGAGAGGACATAAGTTCCTTGAAGATTATAGATACACCTTGCTGACGAGTACCAACAAGCATGAAACCTAGGTCCAGGATTTCCTGCTGACTACCTCCAATCATCTTAACATACTTAAGTTTTGTAAACACACCAAACAGAATATCTCAAATATAATTTAGTTTAGCCTATTACAGAAGTTATAAACACCACTCGGTGAAAAAATTACTCCCTTTGGTGTCTGAATATCACGATCAGATGATGAGGCGGGTATATTTTGAATCACTGCTTTTTGGCTGTATCCACTCCTTGCTGACGATCGTCACCAATTACGAAATATAGGTCCATTGCTTCCAACCATGTGACATCAAATTGTGTTTATCTAGTCACTAGGTAATACTTTCTTAACTGTTTAAGGGAAATACTAACCAAATCTTAAAGATATCCACTACTCATAGTAAACATTTAATTGGGACTTTAATGAGCAGTGTTTGTTTGTTTTATACCGACATCATAATTTCTGACTAATAAAAATATGTTTCACATATAGAAGTTGGGTTTTAAAGCAGTTAGCAGTGGTCTTATGAAACCTGGAGTCAATCCATGAAGTCTATGACAGTTGGTATGAGCCAGCCACGTAAGGAGGTGAAGACCCTCTGGTTGGGTCATCAAGGTGATGGGGACCAATGGCTGGAGACCATTGGTGACATCGCTCAGAATCGTTATCAATGGAGAAAATGCAATATCCGTTAAACTCATATGCTTCCCCATGTTACTGTTCTTTCTGCAGTGCATTTCTGCTGATTATAGGTGTTTTGGATGACTCTTCTCTCTGTATTTGAGTGATACATAGCGTGTGGCAACTTGAACTTCCACATTTCTGTGCAAGGCTCTATGTTGAAACTCGGTTGGTTAGTCGATATGTTGTTTGATTTGGCAGTGTTTTGCGAAGTTTTAGTGATACCACTGAATTTGTCGTCTGGATACTTGTGGTTTAAATATCCAACATCTCCTGCTACGCTTTAGTATTGCATTCAATGTCATTGAATAAAATGGAAATAAAAGTATTAGGTAAATTTTCCTTAAACTTATTTTAAATGAAATACAGTCCTGTCTGTGTATCTAAGTTTAGTTGATGAATGAATGCATTACATGCATTTGGCCACATGGATAAATGAAAAGGTATCAATGAATGATTCAAAGTAAGGACGTCCAATGAGGTGTATATTCCAGTATATTCAGATTCAGTGTATTCACATTCAAGTAGCAGTGTATTTATTTACATGATTGGGTGCATGGGCATACAGTTAAACATCTTACAGGTCTTATCGTGAAAATGGTCACTGAAATTATCGTGTACAAATAGTAGCTGAGTGGAAACGATTCACTTGTTTGAAGCGGAGTTTGATAAATTATTTAAATGATCATTATATGAAGCTTGAAACAACGTTGACAATGAATAGTGGTCGCCTTAAAAGCTCCATACAATCCTTCCCATTAAGAAACTTGAAAAAACCTCGTATTATCTTAGTACATTTGTTGTTCTTGCTTTGTTCAAGTGGTCACTTCGTCAAATACACTTACAATAACTAAGTGTAACTATGAAAAGCAAATTGGTTGGCTCATTGTTTTGAAAAAAAGTATTTCAGTTTCATGATTAATTTGTCATTATTATTCCCTTGGGTAACATTTAGAACATGGGACTTCAGCAGTATCACATCTCGATTTCATCCTCTTCTATGTGGCCCTTATCTGGCTCCATGATTGCCCATAAGCTTTCATTTCCTCCTAACACGATTGTCACCATGCCACCGTCGAACTCATGCCCAACTCGTCTTCTCTTAATCTGGTTCCACTAGAGGATGTGCAGCGTGATTCCACTTAAAAGTAACCTTTTCTCCTGTATATTTGTTGATTGGTTCGTTACCAAAGCTCCTTGTTGTTTGTTCTTTCCGGTTACCCGATCTGCAGTTTGGAATGGAACAATGAGAAGTCGATGAGACGACTTATTGTTTGTTTTATTTTTTTATTCTTAAGGTATTTCTTTATTCATTTGAACATCGAACATCAAGTTTAACATGGCCTAAATGGACTGGTGTTATGCAAGGCTATGAAGCTGAATACATTTTTGGTGCTCCATTCAATCAAGCATTTACAGATAAATTTTATAATTTCACTATTGAAGAAAAACGGCTGAGTGAAGAAATGATGCGATTTTGGACAAATTTTGCATCAACAGGGTAAGGGAAAATATTACGGATATAATCTAAGTGCAGACTATAATTCCATATTAGATTTATTTTATTTAATATAACACACAGTGATACGGAATTGAGGCTGTCAGAACTTTTAATCCTACTGGAAGGTTATGGTGGGAATACGTAGATAAATTCACTGTGTTCTGACTGACTTTAACAACCCCATTGGTGCCACTTGTTGTTGAAGTGAAACTGACGAGATAAGTGGAACAGACGACTTCTTTTAGATTTCTTCCATTGATGGTAGTTGGTGTTCGTTGTTGGACCTCGTGTGTCTTCATCACCACTCTTCTGCATGTCTTACGGCTTTCCTGTCGTCTCTGACTCATCTGTCAACTAGTTGGTTTTCGCTTGAAAATTTTCGAGTTTGTGCGACACCATAAATATAAAATTTACAAAATCCAAATCTTCTAAGGTCCTTCTGCTCTGTCTCCTTAGTCTTCACCGTCTGCTGCATGAAACATTCCGCCACATTCATGAAGATAACAGGAGATAATAAACAGCCATGTCTTTATCCTGTCTTCACTTCAAATACTTCTGTGAGCTTTGCCATGTGATTTACTTGACATGTAGCATCTTCATATAGCTGTTGAGTGATGTTTATAAATGTCTGCAGTGCTGAACTCTGTAGTATCATAGCTATTGCCAAATTACTACCCAGTCGACACATTCGAAGACCTTTACAAAGTCGATGAAGTTGAACTGCAGGGCTGACTGCTATCGTATGCTCTTTTCTATGATGATGCTTAGTGGAGTAAAATGCTTCGCGTATGACTTGTTTTTCCTAAATCCATCCTGTGTCGGAGGAAGTGTTTCATCCAGGGCATCATTTGATTTACGAAGCAAAGCTAACTGAGCTGGAATTCGAAGTGATTAAACTATTGGTTGGACGACGTTGGTGAAGATCTATTTCCACTGAACTCACTCTATGAGAATATAATATTTCTTGTAAGATGTTAAAATCAGTCGACGGGAGATCCTAATTTATCTAGATTTGGTCGTCGTTGGCAGTTGTCATCACGATATATGTATGATAAAATCTCTGCCCATATTGAGAGCACAAACTTAGATCACTCACTACCAAAGCTGCCATTTTCACCACTAAAATTCTCAACACGCAGTCATTTCCTTTGTAACACGCATATGAATATAATGTGCACTGAATTAGTAATATTTGTTGCAGTTCATAAAGTTTATTTTATAAAGGATGTTGACTTTATCTTCTTTTTCTTTTGGACCTTTTAATTTGCGCAATATCGAATGAAGTGATTATGCTGGCTTGTATGCTATACCTATTTCAAACGGTCTTAATATTCTAGCTGTTATTTCAAAGACATTTTTTATATATGGTATGATGAATTTTCTTGTGCTTTTGATATTGGCTTGTTGTTTGTGCTATGACTCAAGTTTAAAAACTATCTGATGAAAATGTGAGGATATCCATTCTTTTTGAAGACTGTTAGTAGGTATTTTTCCTCCATTCTCTTCAACACTGGAGTAGTGCTACAGTGGGTTTCAAATGTTTTAAATAAGGTCTGCACACAGTTTCTTTTGTGGGTAATCGGGTTATTACCACCATAGTTGAGTCTGGCCTGTGTGTGTTGATTTTCTGCGTACTTATGTTTCTAAATTTCCTTTATTAATTCTCTTGACTAAGACGTCTAAGAATGGAATTTTCTTGTCTAATTCTTCTTCTCTGGTGAAATTTAATGTCTTCAAATATGTTGTCTATTAATTTGTGGGTGTATTCTAAATCATTTCTTCTAATTATTACGAAAGTATCATTGACGTAACGTACCCAAATTTTTGGTTAAATTATAGGTAGGGCTATTAATTCTAATCTTTGCATAACGACTCCAACTAACAATGCTGATGTGGACAATCCCATTGACATTCCTTTTATCTCTTCGTATATTTTATTACTGAATTTGAAGTATGTTGTACTCTCATCTCTATAAAGTATTTGTTGCACAGTTTCTTTTGCTAGTTTTGGACCAGTTGAAGAATTTAATGCAATGACATCAAAATACATCAGGATTTGGTTATCATCCAGTTGAATGCTTTTGATTCTCTCTAAAATTTGGACTGATAAACTGATAGAATGGTTGCACGATTCTGTTGGCTATTTCAATTTTCTGAAAGGTTCTTTAGACTGATTATATGTTGGCAGTGAAACCACTGGTCGTAAGGGAATGTTCGGTTTGTGTGGTTTCGGCCTACCATAAAATCCAGGTGAAACAAGCCCGTTAGATTTCATTCACCATTGATCTCGTTCTGTAATTTGTCCTAATTTCATTAGCTTATTTAGTGCTATTTTGATTTTGTTATCTAATTTTTGTATAGGGCTTTTTGTCAATTGCTGATATACATTATCACCTTTGAGAAATCAACTGCTTTCTTTCTGTAGTCTCCGGTGTCCATGAATATTGTTGCTCTCCCTTAGTCAGCTGGTAGTATAACTGTGTCTTTTCTATACTTCAGTTTTTTCAATGTATTTTGATCTTGAGTGCTTATTCGGGTATTACGTTTTTTTCTGTTTGACTTTAAGTGTGATACACTGACTTATTTCTTGTTATACTTCCTCGTTTCATTTTGATGATTTGAGTGATGATTCCGCGGAAGCAGGGAAATCTGTTCCTGAAGTGTCACCAGTATTGCAATTCAGTCGATTCTAAAGCTGTTCTTCTATTTTTGATAATGGTTGTTTCGATAAATTTACTACAGAATCATTTGGCGTTTCTTCAGATGGTTGTTTAGAAATCTTAGCCAATGTTTGTTTGAGGACAAATTTTCTTCGTTCTTTGTGTCGTTGGCTTAATATTTTAATGGGAGTGTTCAATGTTGACAGATGTTTTGGACTGAGAGTCCGTTCGACCTTTCCTTTTTTGAAATTTGACCATATGCTAGTATTTTTTAATCCGATTGTGTGCATCAGTGATCATTAGTTTCACCATTTGTTCTCCGTGTTGCTTGGCTAATTTCCACGCCAGAGGACAGTTAATTAATGGTTTATAAATGACACTGGTTGGTAGAATCTGTTGGTGGAGACATTCATGAAGAAAAAATAGTTGTTCTTCTGTAGAGACTTGCTTTTCGACAAAGTCTTCTCATTTGCAACAAGAGAAATGCGTATCACGCTCGTAAGATCTTGAAATAACGGAGAATATTTATAGCTCAGGTATATGATACTGAATTAGTTGTGTTGTCTGAGATGGTCGATTTAATTGTGAAGCAAATAATATAATGCAAATGTAATGCTTAGATTAGAAGTATTCTAAACTTGTTTTACACACTTTATTAAATTTTCTCGCCCAAAATAACTATGCTACAATCTTTCATAATTCTCTTATTGTATTAAAAAATACAGGTCTCCAAATTTAAATCCTGGGGAATTCCATACACGTAACAAAGAGCTCTACTGGGATAGATATGAAACATACTCACCACAATCCGTAGCTATTCTTAGTGCTGGGGCATCACTGACGTCGAATTCAGTATCAGCGGTAGCAGCACCAGAGGGCACATCTTCGTCTGAAACATCTTCGTTAAATTCACGAATTGATGATTCACGTAAACATATGGTTTTTGCACTACCACGTTCATATATGAGTAGAAATCTACGCAGACATCATTGTATGTTTTGGCGTGAACAGTTGCCAGTGATGAGAGAAAAAATTTTGTACAGTGAGTTGACTATAAGTGGAGTTTTATTTCATTTTGTTGCATTTTCACTGGTTTGTATTGTGACTTATTGAGATAGAAGATTGTTCTTCATATTTATCAGCGATGATAATATTTTATTGATTTCTATGACAACTGTCTGTTTACCATCAATACAGTGTCTTTTTTTAATTATTAACCATCTTGAGGATTCTGCTGTCATCTAGGTCCTAATACTACTTTTTCTTATAAAAATGATAACTTCATTAGAGGCAATAATTTTCCGAACAGAATCGAATTTTCAGCACTATACACAAATATACTGCAACAATCTATCTCTATTTATAAATAAATAAATATATAAAATATTGATAAATAAATAAATAAATGTAACCACACAAGCATAAGTTAATAGCCGAGTAACATTTGTATTAATTTTTTTATTCCTTCACGTTCCCAGTGGAACATAGGGCTTCAAGCTAGAGGCTTGAAGTTTCTGCAGCAGTGTTAATTTTTACAGGATGGGGTTTCTAGCCTCATGCACAACCTTCCCTCTTTGCCAGTTCTATTACTGTGTTGTCGATTTAAATGAGTGCGTCGGCCGGGGATCGAACCCCGGACCATATAGCACGGTTGGCGAACATCCTAACCGTTGAGCCACCGACACACATATCTGTATTAATAATGTTGATAATAAGTTAGTTACTGATTAGTTATAGATTATAGATGGAGTAGGCTTATAAGACCTTTTTCGACATTTTTCTCTTCACTCAAGACACTTATGTTAAATATAGTGTGGTTGAATTTTTACATTTGACTGTAAGAGCGTAAATTCTTACGACATTTACCTCGTTTTCACCTGAAGTGATACAAGAAAGTTGTGAATAAGGAGGATGTTAAGTCTCCGATAAGAAAACTTTAGAAAAAAAAAACAAATTGAGCGAAGAAATATATTCCTTTTCACTTAATTCAATTAATATATATATATATGTAGTTTCTTACTTCAAAACTGCACCAATCATTTGGTTATTTTACTCCAATAAGAATTATCAGTCTCAGGTAAAGTCGAATGAAATTAAGACATTGAAAGCCATCACAACAATTATCTAGTAGATGTTAGCAACAGGATATCATATTTCCATCCCCCCCTATACCTAAAACTGATAATTCTTATTAGGGTAAAGTAACCACATGATTGATACAATTTTTGAAGCAAGAAACCGTGCATCAGTGTAGAGGTTATGATGAGGAATGCATTGAAAAGGAATGCATATTCCTTCGCTCAATTTGTTGTTTGTCTAAATTTCTAAATGACTGGAACCGTCTGAAGATCACTTTAACCAGTTGTCTTGAAAAATTAAAACGCCTATCTGCAACAATGTTAGTTAGTTGAGTCAAAGGTATACCACTAACCCTGCTCACGGTTTTCAATGTTCTGTCTAGTATGACATGGTGTTTCATGAAAAGCTCAGAGAAGAATAAGGAAAAATAGTGAAGAAGAATATGTAGACTACATGAATAAATAAATTGCAACAGAAGAAGCTGAGTTATGCCAGAATGTCTCAAATACATTATGTAGTAGGTCAAACAAAGGATTCCCTTAGAAATCAACAAGATATGAAGCGACCAACAGAGATTGGAGGAGAAAGCGATACCAAGATAGGTAACATTCAGCTTATTTCCTACCGCAGTGTCGTGGATATTGCAAGAATCGTGGGGCTGAATCAGTTAACCCAAGTATTGCTCATGTGTGAAACTAAAATTAACAGTCTGATATTTTAACTGATTAAAAATGCCCATTAAAATTTTCAAAAGAATGGACACGGAACAAAGAGTACTCTTTTCGATAAATTCATCATCAGGTTCTACAATTATATATACATTATAATGAATGAATGAATTAGTCTTATGAACGACATTAATGTTTAAATAACATCAAATCAATAATATTGATAAATTACAGCTGAACAGCATCAACATAAAACAAACTGAATGTCAGAAGAATTAGGAAAGGTAATAGTACAAATTCATGAGTTTATAGTCTCTACTGAGGGCCATGGCAGTAGTAGGAGCTGGAATTGTTTCTTCTGGACACAGAGCACTGGTTGTTTGAGGCGAATTGCAATAGCCTCTGCTGTTTGGAGCATGCGGTGCTTCGACGATTTTGGTAGTTTGTTAGGCACCCGGTATATTATGGAGAAGGATTCTTCTACGCTGGCTTTGTAACCGGTTTGCACCATATGGTTTAATATCGATCTGTTAATAGTTTTAACTACACCTTTACTTAGCCATAGTGGGATATGTTCTTGAGCACGAAAAATTAAGTTCCTAGAGCAACGGCCAACATAACTCGCTCCACAAGCGCAGTTGAATTGATAAATACAATTTGAAGTGGCTAGTCTAGGTACTTCATCTTTCATTCGAGGTAGCACCATCGGTCGTGTAGAGAATAATACGTGTAGTTCGCCAGCATTAAAAGTTCTTTGAAGTGATTTTCTTAATTTCTTCGTAATTAACTCGCTTGGTATATCGCTCATGAATTGTAGTCGTATATATAGTGGCTTCTTGTTTACAGATAGTGGGTAGTCCTTTTCTGTTTTCTTTGTCAAATGTTTCCTGATAAATTTGTCAGGATAACCATTTTCGATTAAAGTATCATATACCATGCTTAATTCATCTTTAATTACTTCGTCAGAGCATATAGCTCTAACTCTGTGGCTAAGGGTCTTCACTAAATTTCTTTTGTAATTGATAGCGACGAAGCTGTGAAAGTGTGTATAATGTCCTGTCCAAATGCTTTTTATATGCAAATTTCTTTTTAGAGGGGTTCAGTTTAAGAGCATTTCTCAACCTCAGATAGGAAACTATTTTATATCAGAACAACTTAGTGCACAAATAACTGCAATAGAGATTGTCAGATCACCCGCATGTCTAATGAAATTGACTCTAAAATAATACGGCAAGTCATGCGAAGTGAAATGCAGAAAGTACAGCCCACCACAAGGAACACCAACTTCCGTAACCAGAGAAGTGGAGCGCTTCGCACTTAAAACGATGTGTTGATTCCTAAATGAAAAGACTGGGAGACAACCACTTTACGACTCATTTTTTTCATACTAAAATCAACAATAACCACTTACATACATTCTATTAAGACTTCAGTGTATTGGCGGACTGCTAACCAGAATTCTGCTGACGTCTAAGATTTGATTTCAGCTCCAACTTATCAGTCATTACAATAAATTCAGTCTGTGCATTAACTCTAACTTAGATGACCTGAAGATTAGCATGATTGTGTTCCTGGCAAGGTTAAACATTGGATAGCCAATAAGTGCGAACGCAGCAGTGACTCTAGAAGGAGTCAGTGAAATCAGATAAATAACACGATATTCATAAAATAGAGGTATTCAATGATGTGTAATAATAATAACATGGTAACTGGTTAGTTTTAAATTAGGTTAGGAAAAGATTAGCCTTATGTTTGAGCTAGGGACAGGTTACGCGTAGATTAAAGAAAGACTGTGGTTAGGATTAAGTTACTAAACAAAATTAAACTTTTAGCGCAAACACTGCCTCAAATGTTATTGGTGCATCCATGCCTTTTAAGTGCCTACTCAGTGAAGTTATATTTTTTTCTGATTAAGAGATTTGATTATTTAACTGATTTTCATAAGGTGGATATCTTCAGGTTGTCTAGTAATCAACTTTGACAGTTAATCTACTATTATTTAGTGTTATGTCGTTTTAGCAGAGGTTGAGCAGAAGATTATGTATACTATTCACATAGATTAAGCGGAAAACAATTTGACTATACCGAGGATTGTTTGTCACTTGCTTTGAGTATTATTCTCTTATGAGATTCGCGATCTTTAAATGTTCTAGACATATAAATATCCGCTTGCTTTTAAAATAACTGTAATAAAGTGCAGTCTGTGTCAGGTAATACTCACAGAAGTCTGAGCAAAACACTTGGCTACCTAAATTCCCATGAAGCATGATGCATTAGCTCTCCTCCATATTTTAAAAAATTGTTTTAATCATCTAGTTGTAAGTTTTGATCGCCGCATAAACTTGCGGACATTTCCACTTAGGTTTCTGTAGTGGCCCAAACTGTGAAAAAGAAGACGATAATTCAGAAAAAAGGGTGGCCGGTAATCAGTAACGGCCTGGCTGCTTTTTTAATGTGAACTTTGATGGCCCTCTTGTACCGTGATTACTATTATTGATAAAGTGTTTCGACCATCACCCATGTTCTGCTTCTCATTTATTGTTTGCAGCAGTGTCTTTGATCCCTAATTGCCTGCACTGTCTATTGCATTTCAACATAACGTGCGTTTCTCAACGAATCTGAAGGAAAGTGCTGTAGAGGATTGGATATTGCTTCAAGTGGAACAACACAGAGTCACATGATACACTGTCGGTTACTGTTTCACTTGAAGACCCTGTGTCATGAGGAAAAATATTTTGAAATTAAGTGTACCGAGAACTCTGTACTATGGTTTATGATATACTGGTATTTTTGTTAATATCATTATTATTATTACAAAAGTGTCTCCCATATCCTTTTGCAGATACGGCATGTAGGTCTAGTCAGCATACTGGGCAGCAAAGAGTGGATAATGTGAAAAGTTCTCAAGAAACTGTTGGCACACTGTATCCAAATATCATGAGACCTTTCAGTCAAAAGAATCAGTCTACAACAAGTCAAGCATTCAGTAATTTACGTCAAATAAACATTAGGCTTTATCTTGTTTTATCTAGCTTGTCAGTTTTTTACTCAAGTATACTACTATTTTAAGGCATTATGTTCCCTATTCCCAAGGTCTATATATCGGTTGTGAATTCCAGTTTTTGTGGTTGTGAAAATTTAAAAGAGGAAATTCTTTTTTTTGTCGTTATTAGATTGTTACACCTCATTATTTGTCGTTTTTCATCTTGGTTTTTGTTTGTTTTTTTGTTTTTCTAATCAAACCATTGAAAAGTTTATTCCACACAAACGTGACATTTTTGTTGAAAATACTTATGATACAGTTAATGATTCCCTTTTTTACTGGTTATGCATAAATAAATGAATTAAAATGAAAGGTTGTGAAATCACGGGATAATCTGTGTATGTATTTATCAAATAAGCATCCCTGCTAAACCCCACTTTCTTAAAGGTTGTGACTTTCTAATGGTTGTGACCCATTTTAGAGTGAATTTGCTTCATTTTATCATTTTGCTTAACTTTTTTCTCTGTGATTTATATGATAATTTATGAATTCAATATTTTATTCTGTTAGATTTTGGGTTTTATTTCTTTTCCGTTAATAATAAAATGAACTCTATGAAACTTTCCCTTTATAATGTGAAACTACTTATATACTTGTTTCAGTAATATCATTATGTATATACAATATTAAATGTATATGCATGAATATAAAACGGTTGTGATTTACACAATGGTTGTGTAGGAATTTATTTCTATAATTTTTTTTCTGTAATCCAGTTTTACATTTAAAAACCAGTTGACTTTTTTTGCAAAGCTGCAATCTGTCTGTATCTAACACCAGTGTCTCATCTTGCTTTATGTTTTGAAAATCGTTGTTCTTATTGTGAAAACCTCATGAGATGAGAAAAGTTACTTTTTTCTTCCATGATAGTAATCAACTGAATATTTGTTGTAATAACTGAAACTGTGCACTTGATGAATCAAAATAAAAATTAATATCAATATTAATATTATATTTACAAATTCTTCGTTTCCTCGGGTTAACTTCTAACCTGTTCAGTGAGATAGACTGTCATTGTAATTATTCCCTTATGCTCCCAGCGAAGAACACAGGGCTGCAACAGCGCAGCTGCATTTGGCCTACTTCTCTACAATCATCTTCAGTTGGCTCCGTGAATATCCATAAGCTTCCATTTCCTCCTGACACGATCTCCTCCGTGTCACCCTCTGACCAAAGCCCACCTTATCTTTCCATGTTCCACTTGAGCGACTGTTTGGCGCTTGATATCACTCAACTGTCTCCTCAGCGCCTTTTCAATACATCTTAATTTCCTTCTGCATATTTGACTTAATTCTTGGTAATTTTAGACTACTCACAAGTAGCCTAAGTTATTTCGGGTTTTTTATTTTCCCTGATTCATCAACTTAATAGGGCCAGTCTAAGTAAATTCATCAGTAATACAAGAAAAATACACAGTTGACAGCTTGCGAATTTAGATATCCAGCAGTGCTAGTATTTGTTAAAAGATAAGCGGCCTTGTTTTATTACATGAAGTTATTCTGGCAATTATATGCATTGATTTGCCTGTCATTCGAATGACTATAATATCAAGTTAAATCTATTATAAATTACACACTTCGCAATTTTGTCTATGAAGTAAGTAACAATCGTGGTCCATATTGTAGAATGTGAGCTAAAAATGGGCTTCATACTGAAAATACATTAACTGCAGAAAGACCTAGAACCGAGGTAAACTGGCTGTCCGTTTTCCAAGTAAGATCTCGAAAATACATCAGTTAGAGAACCACTAGAAACTGAGAAGAGCTGGATAGCTGTTTCGACCCTCTTTGAGACTCTTCAGAAGTGGAAACATATGACCCCACTGAGTATTTTACCAAGGATATCCATGTTATGAGGATGATGTTTTAACTGTTGAACCAAAGGTTTAAAATCTCATAGTCTTTAACCTTTAACTTCTACAAATTCATCATATGTGACGCTACCAATATGAACATTTGATCATCACAATTAGAGACGATTTAGAAAATGCAGTCTGATAATAAAGTGAAATCATTCGCTATGCTGCATATCACTCAGTAAGGGATTGAGACATTAGTTTTATGCAAAATGGTTATGTATGCATGCAAACAAGTAGGTCACGTATAAACTAAAGTAACGTAACAGAGGTTGAGTACTGATTGACCAAAAGGTTGGTAAGAACCGCTATTGGGATCTTAACCGTATTGTGTGCAGTTGTTTATCCTCTGACTAAACATATCATCACTCTGCCCGTGGGAATCTACTGCACTCAGAATAATGAAGAAGATTAGGATTTTCAGCATCAATGTAAAGTTAATCAGCGCTTCTCTATAGTTCAGAAACTCGGCGCCTGAGCCATTAAAGGGTTTCCAACAGCCTGCTTCAGATTTTTATCAACAGTTGCCTACGCTTCCTACTGGAGATCAGATGGCGAGTCGGAAAGGATAAGTAACAAGGATATCTGGCAACGAACTAGCCAAGAACCTATTACCCCAAAAAATATCCAGAAGTAAGTGGAGATGGAATGAACATACTTTGGTGAAGCTGTTAAGTGATATCACATGCCAGGCCTGCTATCGACAGAGACTAGAATGCGGAAGGATGAGTTAGGTGTGGCTCCAAGTGTGACGTTTAGGTGATCGTGTGAGAAGGGAATGAAAGTTTGTGCGGAATCATGGGTCCAGCTGTAGTAGACTTCAGAGAAGAGGCTGAAATGGATTTGTGCTGTTGAAGCCCCACGTTTCACTCGGAATCCTAAAGAATAATAATAAATAATAATACATGGATGGAATGGAATGAGGCAAAATGCTTATTAAATATGTTAAGTGATCCCATTTCTTCATCAGTGAAACAGAACAAAGTATGTTAAATACTGCAGTGATATTGAGTTGTTTTCATCGCGTATCAGTATATGGTGAATGTTCTATTAAGAACATACTACTTTCCATCTAGTGGTCCGCTATAATCGGAAAATCATTCCCAGATGTCAGAAGCCGTATTTTTTATGAAATTACAAAACTTCGCAACCATACACAAGTGAAAATCCACTTGCTGCTTTTTCATGGAAACGTGCTTTCTCTGATAAATGATAATTTTCATTCCAATCCCATACAAGTTTATGTGTGCGTATGTATTCCTTATAACTTAAAAACTATGCCTTTGCGTTTATGATTCTTGATATAAGACTAACCTTGATATTTGAAAAGACTTAAACTTTTGAATCAACAGCCTTCACAAAGTAGTGAACAAATAGGTAATTCCATATTTTTTTCCATATTTAATTTCATACACAGTGATACAGGATTAAAAATAACTAGATAATAAGGAATTTAAAGCCCCGATAGTACAGCCATATATATTCGAAGAAGCCTTACGTAGGATTCTAAATAGAGATGGAATTAAGGAGGGGGCATTTAAACCAACCAGTTGACTCACTCACTTAGAGACCATCTTTATCGGCTTAATGATGCAATAGATCCAACCGAGAAATGTAATAGAATTAACTAAATACCGTATAATGACACAGGAATGATTAACCCTGTTCAGTCAAATAATCCAGGAAAAACTCAGTCATTGGAATACGTTCACTTGCATGTAACCGAACAATAGGGTGGGATAGGGTAAAAGCATTCGAAGGTAATGTAGTTAAGTGGAGAGAGAAGGAGAGAGGCTAATCAACAAATTTCTGTTTGATCTTATCAACACCAAATACATGCAACGGAAATGACGCAACGCCTATACCAGATAAACGGAAAATTGGCAGAAACAACAATGGGGAGACAAAAAATATATAAAATAAATCACAAAGCCATGCGAATACATTGATATGATTATTAGTAACAATAAATTATGCTGGAAACATCATTCAGTAATTAATACCGTCTTCACTCACCGTGTGTTATGTCAAATATGTGATATGGAATTACATTCTACAACAGCACTACAATTCTGCTCTTACAGTGACTTTTTAAAATCATAAAGCTTTATTTCAGACACTAGGTTAACACAGTACAGAAATCCCCAGTGTATATAGTTGCAAATTATTTCCTCTTCCTGCAGGATCTACAGATAAAATAATAATCTTCAGCACATCATTTTTGACTCAGCGTTGTTTATACGAAGAAAGAACCTCTTCTACCCTGTGCTTTTCTTTCATTTCCACCAGGAAACGGACCGTATTCTGGTGAAAGTGAATTAAAAATGTATGCGAGTTCCCATAATAATCGATGGATATAAGTGAGTGATGAAAACAATAAGAAATTCAGAGAAACTTTAGCACTATGATGGATGGATGGAAATTTCGATAACCCGCTGATTTAAACGGTTTGCTAAAACATAAATGAATAAATAAAACAGAATACTTTAAAAATAACATTTTTATTCTTAAGAAAGCCGGTGGTGACTAACAATATAATAAAAACAAGCCACATAAACATTTACAAAATTCATGCTTGCATCATGAAAAATGTGAATGAAGACAGAATTGAAATAAGAAACAGTAAAAACAACTGTCATGATGGCGACATTACACGCCCACACACACACACACACACACACTGACGGCATGCAATATTGTTAAATAAAATTCCAACAAGATATTTTCAGTTTCGAAGGATATGTGTGATTTCTTTCGTGTGTTTTGTTTTTGTTTTGCTTGTTTTTTTAATTTCGACTGATCTAAAACACAAGAAGTAAAGTAAATTAAGTGTATCAATGATATAAGAATAGAACTTGTGCACTGTGGTAAAGTATAATTCCATTAGGAGTAAAATTTACTTTGATAAAGTCTCACAGTGTTATACAGTAATATTTACTGATGACGTTTCGAGCACAATTTATTGCTCATAATCATATCAAGACACGACTCACACAGATTTCTAACTTCGTTTATATAATTCCATTGTTTTCCATCGCTTGATTTGATTGGTAGTAGTATTTTCCATATTTCCGGTAGGAGTGATGAGTCATTGCATCCTATTGCACGTGTTGGGTGTAGACTCGATGAACAAGGATTCTTTAATCAACCTCTCTCTCTCTTCACCTACTTATATTACTTCTTAGAATTCTAACCCTCTCCCACCCTATTGTGTGGTTGTGCGTTAATGCATGTAGTGCGATCGCTGAGCTTTTTCTAAATCACTTATCTCCACGGGGTCAAGCATTCTTACCTTAGCTAAATTCTTATGTTTCGACAATCTGACTGCCCCTAACCTACTAGTTTGACCTATGTAGTTGACCTCACTCACAGTAATTGCAGGATATTTTGTAAATTTGAACCTACAAACTCACTCAGGGACCAAATTGGACAAAATAATATATATATATGTTACTTACCAGCTAATTTCTAAGGTCTGTTGTCTTATATGAAGTAAACCAAGGTATGGTATCGTTTAGCTTACAGACCGACCCCATATTACGTTCACATGTTCGGTAGATTTTGTTGGCAGTCTGTACTAAACGCTGACTGATTCACAATAAAATAACAACAAGTTTTTGTCAGTTACTAATTCGACTTGGACGCGGCCCGTTACCTAAACCATCTCCAATAGACCATGCAGATTTTAATCAACAACTGCCCCCTTCGCTCGATAGTGAAGGTAGGATGGGCGGCCGGAATGGCTTGGTAACAGGTGATCCTGGTAAAGAACCAAATAAGAACTTCTCACCCAAAATCTAAGCGGGAGGAAAGTGAGATAGACTGGACACATTGTGCGAAATCATCGAATGACATCTGGAGCCATCTCTTGAGTGCAACCCGAAAGGGGAACGGCAAGTTGGGTGTGGGTCCAAGTGTGACATGGAAGAGATCGTATGAAAGAGGAGTCAAAAGTCCCTGTGCATTCACGGACACCGTTTAAGAAGACTAGAGAGGACAGAATGACATGGAAATGTTTTGTTGAAGCTCTGTTTTCTACTCAGAATCCAAGGGAATAATAATTGGACAAAAAGAAAGATTTCAAGGAGTCTGTTTAAATCATTGGGCCATCTAAAATTTCTATCTATCAAAATGCATTGCATTTACTCTGTTTAGTGCTGTTTTAAGCATCTAATCGCTACAGTGAGTCGCAATCTAAACTCGCGCACAATTTTGAATATTTTTTCTATTTATCACTAAGAATTTCCTAAAAGAAATGGAGAAACAACACTGTGGAGTAGCACTGGAGCATGTTTGGGATAGATCCGTACTGCTTCAGATGACATATTATCGGTTACTGTATTATTTGAAGATTCTACACAATAAGTAAATACCTTGTTGTGAAAGTTACTGAAAATATTGCATTGTATCTAAATGCAGTTTTCAGAATAAAGCCATCACTGTTGTTCGTGTAAAAAGATGTAAAATCTTACTGTTATTTGACAATTCTTTACTAAATGTCATTAAGAACCATCGAAGAAATGGTATTCTTATAATATTAAGAGATATACCTTATGTATGTTTGCATGTTGTCCACTTTTTCATCTAGAACCCCCCATTTTCGAATAATAATCTGGTGGTGGTGCTGGTGGCCCCAGGGGGGGAGCAGAAGAGTCGGGATAAGGCGGTGGTTGATCGCCAATAGTAGCTGCTGCAGTTGGTATTGTTGCCGTTGGCATTCCACCTTGTGATGATCCTACTGGATATGGAGTTTGTAATGCATAAGGACTGGTAAAATCAGTGGTTCCTGTTGGCTGCGATCGTGGGACATGATTCGACATTGCGTTTGGCGCTGTATTATGCGTAGTGCGTTTCACTTTGGACAAGAGAAAAATACGAAAATAAAAATTGTTGAGTAAATTAAAAGGAAGATATTATTCATTCTACATATTTCTAGCAATGAACTGTCATTTCCACAAGACATTACATAATAGTATTCTTAGTGATACAACTTTTATTGTATTGGATTGAGTATATGATGATTTCTTCTGATATATACGTCTATATAAAGTCTTCTCTAACATTTTTAAACCAGTTCTTCAAAATAATACGTTAACATGATGTTATTCAGTCGATATTGACTAGTGGTGGAATCTAGGATGGGCACTTCGTTCTGTTTGGGACTCGTCAGCCAGATATACCTGATATCTCCAGTGGGTGATGTTCCCACTAAGACTGAAGTCCTACACCCACTGATCACAATGCCAAAGATTTGTCCTCTGGGTCACCAGGGTCACGAGAGCCTTACTATTCCTTATTGGTGAACTGCTTTGAACAGATAAAATCCTTGGGTAAATAATATGAAAGACTAGACACCTACCAACTTTATTAATTATAATATGGGTTTTTGTGCTTCCCAATGAATGAAAAACAAAACGACATTGTTTTTACTGACATTTCGCTATTTAATGCTAATAGCTTTACCAAAGTATTATTAAACCGAGATTTACAAAATCTCAGTATATATATAACAAACAGTTAGGGAGTGAGAAAATATGACTATATAAATTATAAAATATTCATGCTTTCTTGATGAAATCACCAATCCTAATTCAGTTATAGGAAGTTAAATAAACAGTCGGGTTGAGGAAAATATCACAAAAGCTGTACAATTTTCTTCATATTCAAAAGCAGAATTAATGGGAACCAACTCTTATGGCCCATTGAGTCTAACTTCTGAGAAGTCGTGAACAGTGTGATTCACCAGGTTGGGTGTAGAAACAAATACTCAACGACGATAGTGACTGGCGATCGCACTAAAAATCGCGAACGGACACTAATGTATACAGTTTTACACCAAAATCATACCAATAATGCAGTGGTGTTAGTCAATACTTAGTTGACAAAACTAAAACAAACTGCCCGATTTCGTCTCCTTCATGTGTATTGACCAGTTTAACTGCTCCTTTGGAGCTAGGTGCAACTGGGCATACATTTAATCGAATTGGTTGTTGAATTTCCCGCCACCATTCACCTTGGTTAGGCAAAAGAACGAATGAGGTTCAGTACTAGATCATCTCGTCGCTAGTGAACATCAGGTTGACTCTAAAAAAGCTTTTAAAGTTATTCATCACATTCCGCCCAACCTTTCACATGCTCCAGGAGAGAAGCGACTTTTACATGCAACAGAAGCAATCAGAATTCATGTCAAAAGGCTAAATCTGTATTCAAGGGTAATTTGAAAAGCCCTCTTCATTAACCGTAGCCGTCTGCCTAATATGCGTGGAGTATTTCAGATGATCTCATCCTATCCTTATAATAATCGTTTTGACACTGTTATTATTTTCTTTTAGTGTGATTACCACTGTGACTAAATCAATTTACTTATTTGTACTTTGAGGTATTCTCTCATAATTCACTTATCTATTCACCTTAGTCATAAGTATTTTACAAACTGTTGATTATACAATTATTTGTTGCTAACTACCTACAAATTAATTGATCTTGTCTCCTTTAACTATTTTTTCACCCTTCCTGTGTGCCTAAACACTGATCATTTTTATCGACTAACATTACCGCATGACTGGTATAATTTTGATGTAAAACTATGCAATATGTTTTAGTGTAGAGCAGTTGATGAAGAACTTATTGAAATGGAATATATTTTTTTACTGAATTTTGACTGTCATTTCATTTCACTGGTTCTTTTCAACTACTGAATACACCTGAAAATAATTTCATTATGAAAAGTACAAAGCATTCAAATGCTTTAATTATATCAATCATAAAGGTGAACGCTACTCATTTCATATGATTAAATAACATAAGTGGAAATGAATTAAAAGTTTCTGTTAGGCTTGTTAGTTAGTATGTATGTACATATATGAAAATAATAACACGTATATTCTAGATTTAGGAAAATGAATATTGCAAGTGGAATATAAAAGTAAAGTTTCCTAAATTACAGACACTAGAAATCAATATCCTGTTCAGTTGTAATCGAAGCCTGCTTTCATTATTGTTCACTCCTATTATATTTGATAAAAGAAATACAAAATCATCTTTTGTGATCATGAATTTTTTAAATCCATTTGATACAGACGAACTTATTTATCTGATACGAGTGTAATAATGAATGTGTAACCTACGAAACTGCCAAGTGGAAAAGATACATCGTCATTTTCATGATTAAGTAGGCCTATTGTGGTGACTGAATGGGTATATCCAAACGAAATCCACTTTCAAACAGAACGGATGAGAGTTTTTCCCTAGAACACTTTTTAGATGGCGCCACGATTATCCACGAACTTTCGTTTCCTTTTCACACTGTCTTCTGTATACCATATCTGGACCAGCGTTTCGTTTTTCACTAGGGTCTCTCTGGAAGGCTTGGCATGTGATGTCACACGATGGTATCTGCATTGTATTTCAAGTCTATCTCCATTTCCTTCTGCATAGCACCACTAACTGACTTAACATTAGTTTTAATAATCCTCGACTGAATAACGGTGAGTGTCTCTAATTGTTATGTAAAAGGTACGGGTTATATTCTTATTCGCCGGGTGGGGGGGAGGAAACGTCGCCTAATTTAATAGTTCACTAAGCAATCCTAAGCTTGAAAATAGAGGGAAGGTTGGGAGCAATGCCAACCGCTCGACCCTGGAAAATCAACCTAATCACTACAGAAACTTCAAAGTAAAATTACTATTAAAAGCACTTTTTTCCCAAAGTAAATTTAAAACAAGTCAGAACAGTGAAAAAAAATAGTACTTAATGATTCATAAATGTAAGCAGAACTTGTCTTCTGAATACTGTTCTGTAAACATTGTTTTTAAGGCTAAAATACATACAAACACATGGACACTGGAATAGTAAGTAAGTATCAGTTTTAACGAATATATAATCTATAGGCAGTGAGTGAGTGAGAATTTGTTAACGTCATTGTTATCTGAATAATATTCATCAAAGCAAACACTGACATATAATTAACATTAACATATATATTCTAAAATAACTGGCAGTGTGAAGTCAGTTGGTGGATGGTGACTACCAGTGGAATCATCTCGTCTTATATGGAACTTGTCATCTGGATGTAACTGCTTTCTCCAGTGAGTGATGGTTTTCCCACTGAGAATCGAACTCAGTGCCCATAGTTTCAAACGCCAAAACGTTACCCACTAGACCACTTCGGCGACAGCAGCTACCTCTTGTGCAACGAGTCATATTAATTATTTTATTCAGTTTTGGCCGACAAGTCCTAAATAGTACGAAATACGCATCCTGGATTCCACTGCCAGTCACCATCCACCAATGGACTTCAGGTTACGTGACCAGACATCGTCGAATCATCTGCCCAACGAGCCAACATGTCAACCTGAGACCGAGCACTTCGGTCCAATCAATCGACTGGAATATCTGAAACTGGATTCAACTAACAGTATGCCAGATAAAATAATAATAATAATAATAGGAAGGAACACTTTAATGAAAATAGGGAAGAGAAGGAAAATTACACAGGTAAAATAAAAGTACTCTACCAGCGTAGACTCGAACTAGCTACTATCTCCTTTTGTATACATTGCTGTTGATGCCTTATGTTCCTCTAGGCATGCAAAAGAGTAACACTGACAATCATGATGGCCAAGGATTTAGCTCAGTCGCAGAAGAAAAATGAAATTTTGAAATGATTAGGCGGATAAAGTAAGTGTTTTGCTTCTGACATTTTTCTGTGTCTGTTCTGACCACGTATAATATGCCAATATCGGACTTTCAGTAATACTGCCTAGGATTCAGTTTTATTCACAAAAATCTTGATGAATTTTATGAACATATTGGACAGTATGCAGAGAACAGCTTAAAAATGTCTGGCATGTATCATACATCTTCAATTAATGCATATATATGCACACATGTACATTATATTGTATGTGAATGCTTGACGCAGTGGGTTCATAAGTGAAATTCGTTTATTACATAATAGGATTCTTCGTCATTCTATTGTCTAACAGACTGTCTATCAATATGATTTCGTTTTGCATCAAATATATATCTCTGTCTATCATGTATATTGTTTGTCAATTTTTAGATTGTAAATTAAAACTAACTTATAAGAGGTGTCTATCAATATTGAACAGTAATAATAACAACTGTTATGGAGTACTTTACACCTAGTGAGAGTAATAATAAGGATAATGACGAAATTTTAATTCACTGATTTCTTCAGCTCAATGTTCATAAAGAAGATTTCTGTTAAATAACTGTGATTTTATCTGAACGGCTAACAAGAGTCCTAACAAAGTGTAAAAGATTGATGTGAAGCACAAAGTTTTTTTCAAATGCCATAATTTATTTCAAGAGATGTTTTTTCATTCCTCTGATTCCACTGTGGAATATAGGACTTCAAGCTTGAACTCTGGAGTTTCAGTAGAGGTGGTGTTTCTTTTTTTATGGGATGAAATTACTAACCTCATGCCTAACCCTCACACTTTATTACGCTTACTACGGGCTAAGCGAGGTTTATAGGGATATGTCAGCCTGGAGTCGAACCCGGGACACATGGGTAGTTGGTGAGAATTCTACCATTGAGCCAGCAACAACAACAACAACCAATAATAGGGTAAAAGTGTTTTTTTTTGCTAGACATCTACTTCGTTCTATAGATGGAACATGATTTTAGAAATTAAGGTCTCTGGTTAAGAAGGATATTCCATTTTCAGTGGTTGTCAATTAATATATACACAGGTGAATCATTAATATTCATTATTTATTTGCCACACTAGCATAATCATTGATTTCCCGCATCTGAGTGATTATTGATTTTAATTACTGAATTCCCAGGGTTTGTTAATATTTTTAAAATGTGACATTGATTTTCCT